GAAACCAGGAGAGTCTGAACGCTAAAGCTAGCAGCACTAACCCGGCCAACCGCAGCACCGCCAAGTCTTCCCCCAGCATCACGCTCAAAACCAACTTCCTGTGAGACGACTCGCCACCACATGTTGCTGCTGCAGTATAGATGTCCAATTTCCGCTCAGCACCATGTTGCGTTCACTGTCCCCTGGGACAAACGGTACTCAGAGAATCTGATCGGTAACATGAAGGATGAAACTGAACACGCCGCCATGTTGGAAGACAGACCGATATTGTGACAGTCTTTGATTCTGACTCCTCCCACATGGCGGCGTGTTCTACTGATTGGAACGTCTCTGTGCACGCTGCATGTCACTATATCACACGTCTTCTTATTATCACATCGTATCAGTCACTCATATCAGTGATCAGTAACAGTTGAAAGGAGTTCAGCCTCATCTACTCTGAACTGAACTCACATGAAACATGAACGGACTCTACGGAGTCAGAGGTCTGTGGTGTTCCTGTTTGTCTGTGTGAGAGTCCACCTTCTTCACATCTGAAGCTTTTTATCCCAAAATCAGACGTCAGTGAGGAGTCACGTCCGCAGGAAACATGTCTTTAAAAAGCTGCTTGATTCTGGTCAACAGAATAAAAAACTAAATGTGATTGTACATCGTGTAAAAAAAAACAAAACTGAAGATTTGTTTCCTGTGCCGATGATTTCGTCTTCACTGAAGCTGTTTGTGATATTCATGGACAGGATCTCAAGGCGCAGTCGAGGGGAGGAAGGGGTCTGGTTTGGGGAATTGTATCTCTGCTCTTTGCAGATGATGTGGTTCTGTTGGCTTCATCACACTGTGACCTCCAGCATGACCTGGGTCGGTTTGAGTGTGAAGCGGTCAGGATGAGAGTCAGCACCTCCATTTCTGAGGCCATGAGTCTCTGCCGGAAACCGTTGGACTGCCCCCTCTGGGTTGGGAGAGAATTACTGCCTCAAGCGAGGGAGTTCAAGTATCTCGGGGTCTTGTTCACAAGCGTAAGATGGATTGGCAGTTTGGTGTGGAATCTGCAGTGATGCAGGCGCTGCGCCGGACTGTAGTGGTGAAGAGGGAGCTGAGCCAGAAGGCGAAGCTTTCACTTTACTGGTCCATCCAAGTCCCAACCCTCACCTATGGTCATGAGCTCCAAAAGAATGAGATCGCAGATACAAGCGGCCAAAATGAGTTTCCTCTGTGGGGTGTCTGGGCTCAGCCTTAGAGATAGGGGGAGGAGCGTTGACATTTGGAGGGAGCTCGGAGTAGAGCCACTGCTCCTTCACATCGAAAGGGGTCAGTTGAGGTGGTTCAACATCTGATCAGGATCCTCCTGGGTGCCTCCTGTTAGAGGTGTTCTGGGCACATCCCACTGGTAGGAGGCCCCGGGGCAGACCTAGAGCACACTGAAGGGGTTTACATATCTCATCTGGCCTGGGAACACCTTGTGGTCGTCCAGGAGGAGCTGGAAAGTGTTGCTTGGGAGAGGGACGTCTGGGGTGCTTTGCTCAGCCTGCTGCCCCTGCGACCCGGCCCCTGATAAGTGGATGAAAATGGACGGATGGATGATTTCGTAGTATTTTGGGATGAAAAGCTTCATTCTGAGAGACGGACGTTGGATCAGTGAAAAGACCTGAGTCTCATTAAAGGCTTAACTCGTATTTCAAAACTAACTGAACACAAACAGATCATGTTTTTATAGGACAGAAGATATGAAGGTTTTAATGAGAGTAAACTTTTTAACTGACTAAAGAGGAACTGAAACATGCTCTGATCACTTCTGTCAATGAAAGGAAGGGATGCTTTTATTTTGAAATAAGCGTCATCTCTCTGTGCGTACGTAGGAAAGCAATCTGGAGCTTCAGTTCCTGTTTTACTAACAGTAAATGAAGGTCGGGGTCAAAGGTCATGTTGGCACCAGAGCTGCAATAATTCGTCGAGTTAATCCATCATGAAAATAATCGCTTGTTGCAGCTGAAGTTGACACACCTGCCTCTGACCCTCAGATGAATGAGTGAATGAATGAATGTCAGTAACAGACAAGAGCTCAGAGAATGAACAAGAGATTAATTATTTTTTTAGTCACATGTCGATTTGTTGAGTTTAATGTCGTGGGACAAATCACACAATAACAACCTGAAGACTCTCTGATTGTTCTGAATCATACGGTGGCCTGTGAGGGACAAGTTAGTCATCAGCACTTCAGTTAAACACTACATGATATCAACTTTGTCAAGTTTTATCAGTTTGAAGAATGTAACTTTGTTTGGTGTTAAAGGACCAGTGAAAAGATTAAATGCATTTCTCCTTTTAAATCTCTGTCACAATAAAGAAACACTAAAGATTAACCTGCAATAAGTTTATTAACCAGGTGAGCTACAGTCTTCCGCTCTGCTCCACGCACACCAGCTATATGAGTGTGTGAAGTGTACAGGTGTGAATGAGTTAACATGTTGTTTTCTAACAGCAGTGAATGAATAAAACATGTTTTTCTTCTAATTCAGCTCCTTGTTTTATTTGTCTTCTCAAAAAAATGATGATGATGATGATGATGATGATGAAGGTTTATATGTGTTTGTAAATTTCAGTTACAGTCGATGAGACAAAATAATGTCTTGTCTTGTTTCTGATGTTTCAGTCTGAACCAAAGTAGTAGTTTAGTTTAGTCATTTTCCAACTTATAAAACACAAATATATTGGTAGATAGAAAAATGTAAACATAAAGTGAATGCTTTTATTTTTAGCAATATAAAAACTAAACAAAACAAACAAAAAAAGAACAGGACCAAAAAGGGTTAGGCTGAAGCCTTAGCTTATTACACCTACCCTTTTAACATTCATTGTGTCATAAATATAACCAGATAAACAATCAGTGTCATAAATATAAACAGGTAAAAAGTGGCATGAATATAAACAGTAAACAATAAGTGTCAAATATAAACAGGTAAACAATGAGTGTCATAAATATAAACAGGTAAACAGTGAGTGTCATAAATATAAACAGGTAAACAATGAGAGTCAAATATAAACAGGTAAAAAGTGGCATGAATATAAACAGGTAAACAGTGAATGTCATAAATATAAACAGGTAAACAATGAGAGTCATAAATATAAACAGGTAAACAATAAGTGTCGTAAATATAAACAGGTAAACAGTGAGTCATAAATATAAACAGGTAAACAATAAGTGTTATAAATATAAACAGGTAAACAGTGAGAGTCATAAATATAAATAGGTAAAAAGTGTCATAAATATAAACAGGTAAACAATGAGAGTCATAAATATAAACAGGTAAACAGGTAAACAATAAGTGTCATAAATATAAACAGGTAAACAATGAGTGTCATAAATATAAACAGGTAAACAATAAGTGTCATAAATATAACAGGTAAAAAGTGGCATGAATATAAACAGGTAAACAATAAGTGCCATAAATATAAACAGGTAAACAGTGAGTGTCATAAATATAAACAGGTAAAAAGTGTCATAAATATAAACAGGTAAACAATGAGTGTCATAAATATAAACAGGTAAACAATAAGTGTCATAAATATAACAGGTAAAAAGTGGCATGAATATAAACAGGTAAACAATAAGTGCCATAAATATAAACAGGTAAACAATGAGTGTCATAAATATAAACAGGTAAAAAGTGTCATAAATATAAACAGGTAAACAATGAGTGTCATAAATATAAACAGGTAAACAATAAGTGTCATAAATATAACAGGTAAAAAGTGGCATGAATATAAACAGGTAAACAATAAGTGCCATAAATATAAACAGGTAAACAGTGAGTGTCATAAATATAAACAGGTAAACAATGAGTGTCATAAATATAAACAGGTAAAAAGTGTCATAAATATAAACAGGTAAACAGTGAGAGTCATAAATATAAACAGGTAAACAATGTCATAATTATAAACAGGTAAACAATAAGTGTCATAAATATAAACAGGTAAACGATAAGTGTCATAAATATAAACAGGTGTGTAGATGTATCTGATATAAACATGTTTATCATCTTTTATATATCTCATGAGAAAACACTAGTTGTGAAACACTTTGGAAACTTATGTTTGAACGGAACAAACACGTCACAGCGCCCCCTGACGTCAGCTGCGTCACCCTCCAGCCGCTGCCTTCAGGCACTATCGTAAACCCCACTATCATCGAGATGAAGCGTGATTAAGTAGTTTTTTGAAACCCAGATGAAATGGTTGGTTGTTTCTTTGGTTGAACATCGACCCTACAGATGTCTATCTTACTCTGCCATCATAGAATATCAAAATAAAGTACGATCAGGGCAGGCGTTTTAATGTCTGTATACTATCATGGACTACATGTTGTTCAGTGAAAATCGTAGTACTCTTTCAGGTATATAATTTCTTGTACCAGTGTTTTTATTGCTTATCTTGTATTCACTGATTCCACTGAAATAATTAGTAATTTGTGTTTTAAAAAATTATGGCCAAGTGAATAGTTATTAACCCCAATCATGCAACTGTACTCAATTTATAAGAAAGACATTTTTATTATGCCATTATTTTAATTTCAATATGCAGCTCAAACAAAATTTGCTAACCGTACATTGTTTTCAACTTACTATTTTTTCTTTTACGTAGAACGGCAGAAGTATGCATTTATACAACTGATTGGGATGCACATGCAAAAATAATTATAAAACATAATAAAATTAGAAAAAAACAGCTTTATATGATAAACAAATGTGTATAACTAAACAAACTACATAAATTACAGGTACAGTACAGTGGATGTTAGTATTACGGGTTTATTGCCCATCCAGCATGAGATGAGACCTGAGAGCATCAATGCCCCTTCCTTACCCCTCCATCTCTCAAAAACATTTTGTACATATATCTTTTTGATCTGATTTATTTTTGTACTTTGCGTTCTGCATCCAAATCATTCCACGAATTCACCCCAAGATGTGTTATTTCCGAGCTGAGGAGCAGCCCCTGAACGCAGCAGCAGCAGTCGGCTCAGCTCTCCATTTCAGTCCGCTGTGAGTGCTCATCGCCCCGCTGTCCGGTCTCACCTTTGTACCCCCGCTCCGAAGAAATGGGAACGTCTTGATTAAACCCAGGGCATCGGCAATACAGACGTCTCTTCACCCTTCAGTTGGACCTAGAAGATCTTAAGTCACGCCGCTGCTGAGCGTCTCTGTGGCGAAAGGAAAAAAACGGTGAGTAGCTGATCCCGAAGGTAAAAGCGAACCCGGGCCGGCGTCGCTCGTGGTGAGTGTCCGCTGATACGCTGCGGCCCTTCGGCTCTCCCGGAACTCGAGCCCCGCGGTTCTTGTTTGGAGTCCGAGGCCGCGGGTACAGTTAGCTCACTGTAGTGGCTCCGTTTAAAATACAAAAGCCGTGTTTTTCATTCTTGGTGAGGCGGTTTATTAGCGGAGGATTCCTGCCGCGTATAGATACAATTTTATGACGAAAAAACCCGAAAACGCCGCTGTTACTTTAGCTAACGTTAGATTAGCTAGCGTGGTGCTAGTTGGCTAACACTAGCCGGGTGTCGTTGCTTGTAATTTATTTCTGTACTTGACAACAGAACAACAAACATTTTTTGCCAACACAGTTGAGTTCATGGTTATATGTTGAGGATATTTTCAGGGGGTTACAGTTTGTTTTACCGGCTTGACAACATCGTAGTTGCTAACACCGTTAGCAAGTGGAGCTAACAGCTAGCTTAACGGTTATAAACTGGCAGCAACTCAGTAACTTAGCCGTAAAATCCTGTGGACCCGGCCGGACAGCTCGCCAGGAGGCTTAACGTTGCCACTAACATGTCCCTGCTGTATCCTCTTACGTTGATTCGTGTCTGATGAAATAATTGGGCTCCTTATGTCCCGGATAGATGATGAAACCTGGGGTCACACAGCTAGCTTTGTTGGACATGTCTGAACCATGTCATTTTCCCTGTTTACTCGTAACGAGTCTGCCTGTGGCCGAGTTTCTGACAGTGTGCAAGTTTGAAGTCACAAACAAAGGAGGTTTGTTCAAAAAGGGCAGGGGAGTTATGGAAACACGGTCACGACAACCACAAGACTGTTTTAATATTTATACAAAGGCTGCTACTCATTTTTCCAGACCTACTATTGATTAATGTTCAACTTTATCCAAGTTACAAAGCCGTCTCCCTGAGGGCCACAACCGATGATTATGTTTGTTACCGATTAATCTGTGCAGTATTTTCTTCGATTAATCGTTTGGCCTAAAAAAAAAAACCATGAACTTTTAAATACTGAGGAAATCCTGTTACAATCTTTAGAGTCTAAAGTGACTTCATCAAATGTCTTGTTTTGTCCAACCAACATTTCCAAACCCCAAATATTAAATGTACTAGAATGTAAGACCAAAGAAAGCAGTAAATCCTCACACTTTACAACCCAGAAGTGTCACATGTTTTGGCATTTCTTACTTGAGAAATGTTCTGCTGGATTAATTGATTATCAAAATAGTTGCTGACTATTTTGTGCCAATTGAATAACAGATAAATTTACAATTGTGTTGCTTAAAATTCAACAAAACAATCTCAACACAAGATCCACCCTGAAGGTGTTCTGGAGCTTTCTGTCATATGACACAGTCTTCCTTTCCAGAAGGAGTTGCTCACTTAAAGAGGAATTGTAGATGTTAAAGCTTCTTTTTTTAGGACTTCTTTTTCACGTTGACTTGAAGGTATCTATCTAGATTATACAATTATTTAGTCTTTAAGCAGTGAAAAGTATTAGTAATTGTCCATCTTAAGTTCAAAGATGTTGCCAGAATTTTAATTTAGTCTGACAGATGGACCAGAAACCCCAAGAAATATATTGTATAGAGACATGACCAGTGTTTATTTCATCAACGAATATGTAAAATATTTGTTGACGACCTATTTTTCATGACATAACAAGACTTAAATTAAAAGCAACATTTGAAAACTTAAAATATGACAAAATGTGTTTAATTTTTAACCAGCAACTGAAAACTAAATGATGATGTAGGAAACAGATGGTAATGTTAGGTGAGCAGGAAAATAGAGACCGCTTTTTCGTCAAGACTAAATATAAATGGAAAATCATGTGCCAAAATTAACACTGGATATGACAGTAAATGTCCTGTTTTTGGAGTTGGAGTCAGAACATTTTTACTTGACAAATTATCTGTAAATGTTTATGCCATCTGTCATGAGTTTGTTACCAAACCTGTCTATATTTTGAGTATCTACAACTGTACTTATTCTTGACCGGGTCATCTGTTTGATTTCTGTTAATGAGTGATAAATTAATCAGTCACACATTTCCCTTCTAATATCAAATAGGCAATTGAAGCCTGAAACAAGAATTTAATTTATCAAGTAGTCGACTGCCAGAAAAAAGTCAGTATTTGTTGGTCAGACAAAACAAGACATTTGAAGAATTTGTGATGAGAAGAAAATGAGTGTCAAGTTTGTCACAGATCAGTAGGGTTGAATACTGTTGTGATCTTTTCGATGCTGGCAGTGAGGTCTCAGTCATCTGACCAGGCCTGAAGTGTTTATTAACAATGTACCAATCTGACCCACCAGATCAGTGTTGGTGCCAAATACTGACTTAAATCATCGAGTACTGGCCACAATGTTCTGATCCATATTAAGTTTCTTGTCAGTGTCATAAAATTATAAATCATATTAACACCTGGTGCCACCTGACCCAAAGGGGTCTCAGATACTGTTAGATTTGAAGCGTGCTGACGTCTCAAATATGATACTTGAGCTCACCTCTTATCACTGTGAAGCATTGCTCTAATGCAAACAGGTGTGTAGAACTTTAAATAAAATACAGTATTAAACAGACTGAATGATGGCAAAAACAAAACACAGAAGATATTAAATTGGAGAACCAAACTAAGATCTGAGCAGTAATTCTGCAAAATATTTTTCTAAAATGAGACCCACTTGTGTGTTTGAGGTTTTGTAACAGCTTGACATTGTTGTCGTCTCAGTGTGAATTGTGTCTCTGCTGCTGTTGATAGTTGAGGGTGATTGTGACTGAATCGGCTTGTCTGAGAAACCTCAGTGTTGTGAGATGGCAGCCATTGTTCCCGTAGTGACAACACAACTCCCAGAGCCTGAACACACTGTCAAGGCCTGAGGAGGAGAGAAGTGTGTTTTTTGCTGACCTTAGTCTCAACACAGGACACCACAAAGGGTTAAAGGGGCGAAAGCCTGTGTCTGACTGAGTCCGTTGGGTCAGCTACACTCAGTCCTGCTGTGGTCGCCCCCGGGGCCTGAAGGGGGGAGGAGGTCAGGACGCTCTCTGGCAAGTTGTGATGATTAATCTGTTGATAAGAGGATCTGTCGAGCACAGCCTGTTACTATCCAGACAGACAGATAGACAGGCAGGCAGGCAGGCAGGCCGGCCGGTTGGCTTCAAATTAGACCCTAATCAACTTAGCCTGGACCCATCAGACTCCCAGCATGCCACACTGCAGTGCTATGCTACCAGACAGAGCTGCTAGCCTGCTGCTGTGCTCCAGATATCATGGAGACTTCAGCTTAGACGCCTTTGACCTCATCCTCAACTGGTTATTAACACACAGAGCTGCAGTGAGAAGACGCCTCATCCTGCAACTAATTTTCCAAGCAAATTGTGCCAAATATTGGATGGTTTCAGGCAGGGTACAAAATTAGAACCATCCACCAGCCAAATGCAAGCAGCTGCTAGATTTACTGTACACACCAGCTAAAAGAATAACGGTAAAATCAAACATTTACTTGCCATTTGGTTGGTTGACAAAAAAGTTAATTTAGCACCCTGAATCCTGGCTTCAGTGTGAGAATTTTACAATTACCTGAATATCTTTGAATTCTGACAGTTAATGATGTCACCTCAATTGGATGTTTCCACTGTTTTCTCATGTGTCATAGACCAAATGATTAATTAAAAAGATAATCAGTGGATGTTTGATAATGAAGCTAATTAGTTGCAGCCATCACCAGGTGATTTGCATGTGGATAATATCACCTGATTACAGGTGTTCTGCTGGTCTGTGAGTGTATTTAAACATGTAAACTGTGTAGGGATGAGCTGGTTTACTTGCCTCAGGTTAAAGGAACCTGGTGTGACGTTCCAGAAGAGGGTCATGTGACAGATGCAGACAGCTGGAGGCCTCTTTTCAGTAGTATTGCTAATACAGCCTGACCTATGTAACATTATTGAGGGCTGATAATTGAGAGATTTAAAAAAACAATAATTGCATATCTGTTTATATTCCTATTGTTTACACAAACACAATAAACAAACACCCTAAGAAGTATATCACTGCTGTAAAGAGTCTGTTTTTTGTTAGACTGGGCTGTCTTTGCAGTATAAAGACATAAATACTTTTGAAATTGGTGCGACACGACAGGAGAAAACAGAGGAAAAGGGCTGTTGCATTCACTTTTGCTCAAACAGGAAAAAAACCTACAAATACCAGAATGCACTGCACCACACCAGACCAGTAAAGGCTCCTGCTGTCTGCTGACATAATGTAAGTTTCCCAGCCGAAATCATGATGCACTGTTTCCCGCAGATTTAAAATCTGTGTGTCTTTGTGTAGCAGTCTGTGTTCATTCTCTAAATCAGGAGGGTTTTGCAGTTCTGTGAACGCAGCACAGGCGGGAACTCTTCATGATTTCTTTTTGTTCTCAGCTGCAGCTTGTGTAATTTTGAGTCGGGAGGTGGATAATGGATCTCTTTACTTCATCTTCAAGGTGGGATCTTCAGGCTGTCAACCCGTTTCACCGCTCTGTATAAAAGGTACAGTGGCAGAATGGGGGGACAGTGTTGTCTTGCCTTTAAGGCAGCATCGGAGGTAGTGACACCGGCGAAATGACATCTGTATGAGCAGCTGGCTTGACTGGATCATGGGTGGCACTGGTATGATGTTCTGATGGCGTGTTATGCGTGTGACCCACTATGGGAGATTTAAAAAGTAGCTGATAGCAGTTAGCAGCTAACTCAAAGAAGAACAGTGTCCAAAAATGTCTGCAAATTTGGAGAGCAACAAGGTCCAGGAACTTCTTAACCTGCGAGCAGAGGACGAGATCAAGCGCCATATTTTAGGGACCATTATTATTTAGAAGGCACTGTCGCTATTTGGATTGTGGGATGCAGTTAAAAGCTCTGCAAAAAGCAAATAAGTTTGATCTTCAGTTGAAATTATTATTATGCTGAACTACCTCAAACTGATCAGGCATTTCTCTGTTGTAGTTCTTGTAACTTAGTAGCTGACAGATGCGCCATTTAATTTTTTCAGAGAAAGCCAAGCGTCATCACATACCATAATTAGAAATTGTAAATATTGACATGATATTTTTGCATGACTGACGCTGACTCTGAGGATCATCAGCCTCGTCTGGACTCTTAACAGTATCTGATGTTGTTGCAAACAAACAAGCTCCTGTTATTAGGATAAGTCTGACATCAGGGGACTGTATCACGAAGCAGGATTAATGTCTTAGCGAGGTAACTTCAGGGTTAACCCTGGGTTTTCGGTCTCACGAAGCCGGTTCAGTTCTTATCGGGGTAGATCACCATGGTAACTTACTCTGAACGGCTATCCTGCTCTGGAGCAGGGTAAGTTCAGGGTTGAATCTGATCCTATAAAAAGCACCACCCACTGGCCAATCAGCTGTTCAGAAAAAATGACTCCGCTGACAGAAATGCAGCCCAGTCATGACGGAAAGTTTAATTAATTTGATTGATTTTGATTTGAAAGTTTATTTTGAGTGGAAAGAAGTCGAAATTTCATCCCACCCCTTTATAAGAAAGAAACTGATCATTTGCGGACACTTAATAGCACCATTAATTAGTGACAACATTTTGTTTTGTTGGAGGAAATGATCCCTGTTAAAGATAATGGGCCTAATTGACAGCTTTGCTGCTGGAAATGTGGAAAGTAGCCTATCATGTCTATACTTCATGGTGTTCGAGGGATTTTCCTTTTTGTTTTTTAAAGAGGGAGACTAGGTATATTTTTGCACAGCTGTTAATTTCTAACACAGCTCAATATCAGGATGATTTTATTCAGACTATCAGTTTGGTATTGATATGATTTAATTGTGACGTCAGCTTTAAGCTTTATTGTAGCATATGTAACGTTATGACAAAGAAGACCAATTTATCAGACGCAGTGATGTTAGACGATAATTGTAATACACGCAATTCATCTGCGCAGCATTGATTTCATGGGATTCAAGGGTGTGATCAGTGTCAGATGTACAGGTACAGGTACTGTAGCTACTTGAACCAGTGATGAATAATTTAACCTACACATCATTTTATTTGCTGCCTTGTGTTGTCTTGATTTTTTCCTCTCTCCTCCTCTATTTCTTCTTTCCTGACCCGTTTTTTTTTCTTCTGTATTATGTGATTTCATTCATGTTTTGACAGGGGAATTTCTTTGATAAGCATTTAGTGGCTTCTAACCTCTCCGGCACTTTTCTTTTTTTAATCTTGTAAATTTTATACTGTCTGTTTTTAACATTATGTGCAAATAAACTAATCTAAACTAAAACTAAACATTATTCATCCTGTTATGCGTTGCCACGCGTGTTTCCTCCTCCTGCAGCTGCCATGGTGTTGGCCTTTTCTGTAATGTTGCTTTTCTCCTCCTCATATTTTAGTAGAATTAATCTCTGATCCTCACGAGAAATACTGTTTTTCCTCACGTACGGCGCTCTGTGAGGACGCTCAGTGACACTGCGCTTCTCTCATGATTGTGATTGGTCCGCTGCGTGCACGTTCACGGCTCTTGATAAAGCAACACAGGGTTGAGTTACCAAGTTGATATCCAGCGTCGTGATACAGATTATCCTGATTGCCAATGTTAGGGTTAGTCAACCCAGGATAGGTCTGGGTAACCCAGGAAAGGTTGATCTCGCTTCGTGATACAGGCCCCAGGACTTTCCTTCTTCTCTGAATGATGACAACATCTTTGTGTTTTCTGCGTCGTGATTATTGATATTTTAACCACAGAAACTGCAGCACAGTGAGATTTTAGCAGACATCACTCATTTAGCGGACCTGCCGAACCACATTCCCCTCACCCAAAAGATTTTTAGCATTTTTGTATTGATTTGTTTTTCTCTGACCCAGACTGTGTTTAAATGTCTGCGGTTTCAAAGTAGATCAAAGCAATAGATGTAGTTGTTTAAGATCAGTTTTTGTGTCTCAAATCTGGTGGGTTTTATGGTCTACAGGTCTCAGGTCTGCGTCCACTGCACTGGCCTGTTTTTACCTTCACTAAAAGCTCTTTGTACTTCATAACACTTCCTCTGACAGTGGACGCAGTGATCCCCTGTCCTCTGACTGTCAGCTGAACACCAGCTTTTCATATCAAAGTGCCTCACGTTTGCATGTTTGCATGTTTCAGTCGACAGTGAAAGATCTCTGAACGCTCCCCTGCCTGTCAGACTAAAGCCAGGGTGTACAGGCTCAGAGGTTCAGATTAGCTGTTTGAACAGAAAACCACATCAGAGTTCAGAGCGTGTCACGACAACATGGAGTTAATTAGCTCCAGATATTGCACACATGCTGCGGTTTAGATTTTTATTTACTGCTTCATCGCAGACCTTTCGATCCATTTGGTGCAGGTTCTGTTCAGTAACTGTTGAATTACCCTGATACAGTCTAATCAGACGCACAGTTTAGCACGTGGTGACTTTAATCCTACCTGAAAAGCTTTGGCAGCTGATCTGCTGTCCAGGAATGATCCCCTTCTTTTACAAATCAGAACAAGTTGCCGTTCTTTTCAGGCACTTTGTCTTGTGAGGAATGGAGACATCTTATTTTTATTTCTCTCAGTGTCAGCTGTGCTAAGAGGGTGTAGAGCTTTCACTACGGATTTAAAGTGCATTCACGTGCTCCTTGGATGTCCCATTTCCTGAGTTTCGGTATTCTGACTTCAGTGTGTTTACAAGCTTTTAAGTTGTAATATGGAAACAACATGGATGCTACAAAGATGATGTGTTGTATTTTATTGCTCGAGCATTTACATAGCTGTTTCCAGTATTCAGCCTCTTAAATATGGCTTTACCTGACTTGTTATCAGGGTTAATAGGTTAGTCCTTATTTATATTATTAGTTTAGGTCAGAACTTGGTTGGTGTTGACTTTTTTTGCAGATGATACAGTGATATATTGTGCCAGTTCCTCCATCATGGAGGCTGTGGTCAGATTGCAGGCTGTCTTTAATTTTATCCAGATTCTGCTTTCAAAACTAAAACTAGTTTTAATTGCTGATTAGAAACGAAGGTAATGTGTTTTTTAAATGCTAGGAAGAAGCCTGTGAGCACTCCTGATGTTATTACTGCCCAGGGAAATAAGTTAGAAGTTGTCTCTTGTTGCAGCCATCTCAGTATTTGGCTTGACGACTGTCTTTCTTTTAACCTTAAGTTGATAATCTTAAAAAGCTGAGGCCAAAATTTGGGTTTTATTTTAGGAACAAGTCTTGTTTCACCTCCGAGGCCAGGAAAAGACCAGTTGCTGCTACGTTTTTTTTTTTTTTTTTACCAGTTCTGGATTATAGCAATCTGTTGTACATGAATGCATCTGCACATTGCTTGCACTGATACAAACTGTAATACCATCATGCTTTATTCCAGAGCTAGTTGGCCGTCTTTGGCCATACTTGGTAAACTCCAATCATACATTTGCACTTTGATTGAACAGAAAAGATTTGAAACTAAGAGAATTGATCTCTATGCCTGATTTTGAAGCTCTCACAAGTACAAGGGTGAATGCATCTGTTGGTACTTGCGATTTCTACATGTTACTTTATATCTCTTATGTTTTATATTGTTGTTTGTAACTTTTTTAATGCTGCAGTCTTGGCCAGGTCTCCCTTGAAAAAGAGATTGTTGATCTTTACAGGACTTGCCTGGTTAAATATGGGTTAAATAAAGCGAATAAATAACTTTCTAACTAATACACATCGCTTTCTGTGGATGGTTACAACCTTATACCATATTACAAATTACCTGTAAACAAAAACACTGAATTAATAAAATGTTTGTCACCATCAGTCAAACATTTACTTACGTCTGCCATGTTTCTGTGTATATGACACCAAAATCAGCAGGTGATGTACCAAAATTTCCACAGACTTTTCGAGTTGTGTGACTTCAGGGGGCATAAGTGTGAGTTTCTTTGTCAGGAACTAATTTTTCCAATTTTTCTGAAGACGCTTGAATGTGCTCTTTGCACCGTGACGTTCATGAACCCAGTCCTGACTCAGTTTTCCTTGAGCTGACAGAAGGCTGTACTATGGCTGCAAAAGCCATAGAAGCTGAGGTAGAAATAACACAGTGGGAATAATACTAATTGTATTTTATCATTCGGCAGATATCAGTTTAACAAATGTCAGATTCTTTTGCGTGTACAAAATAATTAAAGTTACCTGAAGGTGAAATTGCTCTGCTTGTGTGACACAGAACACGGTGAAAGCAAAGATGCTGTGTTCCCCCTCTTTGTCATGAATACCTTCCTGTAATCATCACCATTATACACATGTATAAACAAGCCTCACTCATCCAGGAATTACCCTCTGTGCTGTTTAGGCAGTGATTAATAATTAATTTTATTTTAGTCCCTCTTTGAATGAGGTAATGAAGTTGATTTCTTCCTCTGGTGTCAGTTATTTAAATGTCTCCCTTGTTCTGTTTGCAGGTGAAGAGTCTACATGTCCCAGAAACCCCTGTGAGAGTGAGCGACTTCTTCTTCTTCTGCTCTTGTCCGCATTTCCTCTCTCCCTCCGTCCGGTTGGTTGGATGAGTCCCAAACAGCGACAGAACTGTGAGCAGTGATTGGGCGCTGAGCCAGACCGGGTAGCCATCGGGGAGCCAGGTGAGAGGTCAGGTGATGCTGACAGAGTACTTGAGAGTTTGAATAACGTTCAAGGGAACAATAGAAGCTGATTTAAGACCTGCCTTTTTCCTGAACTCACTGCATCACAGCAAATGAGTGTCAGAACAGGAATAAGGTGCAACCAGTAATTTAGCATTTAAAACAAGAGGTCAGCATCAGATTACCTATACTGGAGGATTTGATGCAGCTAAAGTGCAGCTGTGTGTGTGCCTCACTTAATGAATGAATTTTTTGTTATTGTGTCATGTAAACAGTTATGCCCAGCTCACATGGGCTACAAGACACCATCAAATGAAACAAGCCAGAATCAGAGTCCAGCGTACATATTTTCAGTAGGGATGCACAATAACATCGGCATGTCATCTGTAGCGGACGATACTGGCTTCAAAATTAAAATGTCGGAATCAGCCAACATGCCGATTTATGCAGATATGACAAACTGATTTCTTTTTTTAATTGACAAAGTGAACATGTAGAAAACTTCAGGTAAATGATACAGCACAGGTAACAAAAAACATATCTGAAATATATACAAGTATGTATGAAAAATATAAACCGCAGAAATTGAAACAGACAGATAAACAAATGATAAGATGAATATGTGTGACCCACTCACAGTCGTCTCATTCTGTGTTAACTACCACCAGGGCAACAAAGCAGAAACTGTGGCATGGTTCTAAGTGACGATGAAAGGACCATTAACCAAAGATAACGGGTCTTAATTGTTTTTTATTCGTTACTTTTTGGTGCAAAACGACTGAGAATAATGTACGAATCATTGCAGTCTATTAACAAACTGGACCCACAGATGTGTCACCGTTACAGTCTGTGAAAGTCTTTGTAGTATGTGCATTGGAGGTCGGAGGAGCGAATCTGTTACTACGACTTGGCACCGTTCTGACCACAGTAAATCCAGAGGCAGCTGCCTAACGAGGCCCTTCACAGAAAAAAAAAACGTGATATACCCCCGTGATAGGCTGGCGACTTAAAAAGCAAATTACCACCCATTCAACCTGACCTCTACTAAGTAAACAGGGTACAAGCATAGAAAGTTGGATTATTTTCCATAATATGTGCATACATTGGTATCAGTTATCAGCCAAATGAGTTGTCATATATTAGCTTATCGGATACCAGCAAAAAAAAAACCAGTATCGTGCATCTCTGATTTTCAGAAAATATGTAGAAAAATGTAACGCAGTGACAAAAGCATCCTAAATAATCAGATCATCATTGTGTTACTGAGTGGCACTGACAAATCAGGATAAGTACTTATTAAAGGGGCTATCTTGTCCTTTTCTTCAAGGCTTTTGCAACATTTGCAAACTTAAACCCATCAAAATTAAACAGCCATTCTAGTTTTTTGGTCACTAGAAAATGTCAGGGTTTGGTCGAGCCATTTTATGAGTCATTAGTTCTCTTAAGTCATCACAGTTTGTACAGTATAAAAGAAAATAAGACTTACTTTCCACTTCACCCAACTCACACTCACTTCACTTTTCCAATTACTCAACTCACACATCCTGATTTCCTTCTGAATATTGTTGAACTGTTATTGTGACCTGTATCACAATCTCAGTATCTGTCAAAATAATCGCATGTATTTGAAAACAGATGCTCACATGTGTTGAAAGTACTGCACTGTGTGTTGTCCAGTGCATGCTGGTATAGCATCCAGCTCCTGTTCTCCTAAACAGAATAAGCGGGTGTACAGAATGACTGGTACGTGTATAATTACACTAATGTATGAACTACCTGTATAATTACACTAAGGTCTATGTTATGTATAATTTTGTCCCTGTAGGCTAACCATCATGGCGGACGTGGACCCAGACACCCTGCTGGAGTGGCTGCAGATGGGGCAGGGCGATGAGCGGGACATGCAGCTCATCGCTCTGGAGCAGCTCTGCATGCTGCTGCTCATGTCCGACAACGTGGACCGCTGCTTTGAGACGTGAGTGTATGCTCCTGAATGATAGCACAGTCAGGAGGTCAGAGGTCAGCTGACTGACCGTCTCTCTCCTCTCTTGTTTCAGCTGTCCTCCTCGGACATTCCTCCCAGCGCTCTGTAAGATCTTCCTGGACGAGAGCGCTCCAGATAACGTGCTGGAGGTCACAGCCAGAGCCATCACCTACTACCTGGATGTGTCGGCGGAGTGCACCCGGAGGATCGTGGGAGTGGATGGGGCCATCAAGGCGCTGTGCAACCGGCTGGTGGTGGTGGAGCTGAACAACAGGACCAGCAGAGACCTGGCCGAGCAGTGTGTCAAGGTACGAGGACGAGAGTTTTGTTGTCGATATGAGGAGCTTTTACAGTCTGCGTTATTTACTGAGACGTGACTTCGCTGAGGGGCCAGGCTGTCTGCTAACCTGCAGACATGATGATAATTTTAGAGATTTAATTCCTGCAGCACTTTCCTCTCCCAGATGAAAAAGCTCAGTGTCAGGCAGTTAAGAAGAGCGAGACAGTGTTTCTGCCGCTTCAGTGTTTTCATCTCGTTATCCTGTCGTTCAAGGCTGTGATGTCATCAGTTTTGAAGCTGGATCAGGAAACAGCAGTGTGTTTTTGTTCCAGTGAAATCTCATCAAAGAGTGTCTGTTTGTCTCAGTTATCAGTCACAGTCCTGAACAGGGCCAGTGTGTCAGGGAGGCAGATAACACGGGGTTAACACAGGCTATGATATGATAATAACACCTGATCAGAGATCAGCCTGCTCCTGTGTTGGTGTGTGTTTTTGAAGTGGAGTCAAACCACAAGCAGGAGACTCAGTACCATGTGCTACCAGAGGTTTATTAATACACATCACAGGACAGTTGTGTTCTGTCTTTAGGCCTCAGTTTGTCTGATCTGTTCCGCTGATAGAAGCAGAAAGATTCTCTTTCACAAGATCAAAAAGCACCTGACATCATAAAAAAAGTATTATTTCCACTAAATGTTAAATATCTTCTTCTACTTCTACCCTTCTTTGTGTCGTTAGCCCTTTTAATACAGAGACAGTGTTTAAGGGCTGCTGTGAAGTCCAGTCTTTATGCCACCTTTGCATTTTTACATAGAACCAAATGACGGCGGCATCATGCAGCTCCAATGTGTGCTTACAGACAGCATGCCAGCATTGCGGAATCAAAAGAGGTGTGACGGGTGTGACATGTAACACAACAGCACCAGCCTCTAGTGACACATAAAACAAACATGTCAGCAGTGCTTTCTAAACAATAACAACAGCAAAAAATGGCAACAATTATTTACTGTTCCTGTCATATGGCAGCTGATCTCGTCCTCTGCTCAGAGTGGAAGGAGCTCCCAATTCTCATTGTTGCATGTTTCAACTGGACATGAGGTGCACCAGTGTGGCCAGTGGAAATATTGAGTCTTACTAAATGATCACACCTTGGAGCCCTAACTTGTAAAATTGCTCATTTAGTCACCAAGTGTCATCTCCCTGCAGTGGCGTAGACCTCAGACCTTTCCAGGGAGAAGAAGAGCAGTCAGTTAACATCCATTTAAAACTTCCGACACAGAATTAATCTGTTTTTATGATTTATCTTTTACTTTTTATTCAGAAAGGTTTGACATCCGGCTCAGAGACACCAACAGTTGGAGAGCGTTTCATACTAAGTTCTGTTTTTGCTGTGCAGGTGCTGGAGCTGATCTGTACCAGGGAGTCTGGTGCCGTGTTCGAGGCCGGCGGTCTGAACTGTGTGCTGAGTTTCATCAGAGACAGCGGTCATCTGGTTCACAAAGACACTCTGCACTCAGCCATGGCCGTGGTGTCCCGACTCTGCAGCAAGATGGAGCCTCAGGACTCGTCTCTGGAGACCTGCGTCGAGTCTCTGTCCAGCCTCCTCAAACATGAAGACCACCAGGTAACCCAGGAGTCTGCAGTTTGTGTCTCAGCAGATGGTCTCTCAGCAGAACTAACTAACCGCTCTCTGTCCTCCAGGTGTCAGACGGTGCTTTGCGCTGCTTCGCCTCATTAGCTGACAGGTTCACTCGCCGTGGTGTGGACCCTGCCCCTTTAGCCAAACATGGACTGACAGAAGAGCTGCTTTCCCGTATGGCGGCTGCCGGCGGCACGGTGTCCGGCCCCGCCTCTTCCTGTAAACCAGGCCGGACGTCAACAGGTGCTGCCCCCCCAGCCCCGGACTCCAAACTGAGCAACCAGGTGTCGACCATCGTCAGCCTGCTGTCCACGCTGTGCAGAGGGTCGCCACTCGTTACACATGTAGGTCAAATCACCTCAAGCGCCAAAACAGGAAACTGGAATAATAAAACATGTATCTAACATTGTCTGATTCACTCTTGTCCCCTTCTCTACCATCTCCAGGATCTGTTGCGTTCGGCGCTGCCCGACTCGATGGAGTCCGCTCTGGGAGGAGACGAGCGCTGTGTGCTGGACACCATGCGGCTGGTGGACCTCCTGCTGGTGCTCCTGTTTGAGGGAAGGAAGGCGCTTCCCAAATCTACAGCGGGGTCGACGGGTCGGATCCCCGGCCTGCGACGCCTGGACAGTTCAGGGGAGAGATCCCACCGACAGCTCATCGACTGTATCCGCAGCAAAGACACCGACGCTCTGATCGACGCCATCGACACTGGAGGTAAGAACGCAGATGCTGATCTCACCTGTGATGAGTGGAGAAGTAGGAGTTGGGCTCACTCTCAATACTGGACCAATTTCAACAACACTTTTTCCTGTTAGTCCCTCACAAACAGGTCGAGGTTGGAAAAACACTGAACTTATCCTTTTAATTAAGTAGAAAAAACAACACATTGTCACAATATTCTGCTAAATTGCTGCCGTTGTCTTGTTTTTCCTGTGTTGCAGCTTTTGAGGTGAACTTCATGGACGATGTTGGACAGACGCTGCTCAACTGGGCCTCAGCTTTTGGCACACAGGAAATGGTAAAAATAAAAATCAACTCGGAGACACTAAGCTTTTTATTTAAATCACACCTTTGTTTATTAGACACATCTGCTGATGTACTAATATTAATATTAATAATAATAATGATGTTAAAAATTATTTGGTTGAGTCTCACATTGACTCTTATTTATGAGGTTTGTGTTTTCTGGCTGTAACTTGAGTTTAACCAACCACACGTTTGTTGTTGTTCCAGGTGGAGTTTTTATGTGAGAGGGGGGCGGACGTCAACAGAGGTCAGAGGTCATCTTCACTACACTACGCTGCCTGTTTCGGACGTCCACAAGTAGCCAAGGTGACACACACCTGCACAAATATTACAAATTGTAAAAACAGCACCAACGAGTCAGATTCTGGGAAATGTTTGAGTTTTCTTTTAAAGTATCCAGCTCTCACCTTGAATCACGTTTTGTTCGAAACATCTGATTGGCTGTGTGTGTTCTGTATTGTAATCTGTGTGTTTTTGTGCGTGTGTGTGTAGACTCTGCTGCGTCACGGAGCTAACCCTGACCTGAGAGATGAGGACGGCAAAACTCCTCTGGATAAGGCCAGGGAGAGAGGACACAGTGAGGTGGTGGCTATACTGCAGTCCCCTGGTTAGTACACACACAATACTACTGATTATCTGTCCCTCCAGGATTTCAAGGACTGTGTTTGGGATTGTTGTGGCCTGAAATGCCTCATTTCATGGCAGCTTTTTTAAAAAATCATGGTGCATGTTGCTGTGTTTATCAACAGCTGAGCGCCCATAATCAGCTGAGAGGGAAAGTATGTGTAGCTGCTCGCTCAGCAGCAGTGAGGTAACACAAGCCTCTGTATGTATGTGTGTGTGTGTGTGTGTTGCAGGAGACTGGATGTGTCCAGTGAACAAGGGTGACGACAAGAAGAAGAAAGATGTGAACAAGGAGGAGGAGGAGGGCAGCGAGCCCAAAGGAGACCCAGAAATGGCTCCCATTTACCTGAGGAGACTTCTGCCTGTTTTTGCACAAACCTTTCAGCAAACCATGCTGCCTTCTATTAGGTAAACTGTCTCCTCCACCTTTATTAAACCATGCTGCCTTCTCTTTTTTAAACTGACATCCCTAACTATAATAGTATGAATTTCTTTAATGTTACCGAATATACGAAAGATTCACTTCCCTCTGTTCCCTCTGCATTGATGAAGAGACAGATGGATCACAACCTGAAGCACTACATGTGCCACCACACTCCTAATCTTAATTTAATTAGAGCTGATGGAAAATGAGCTGCATGCTGTCTGTCATTGGTTGGCTGATTTATTGTGAGCAGACTAAAAGCACAAGTCTTTTTTCCTTATAGAAATGTGATAGATAAAGAAATTAACACTGTGTGTTTGTGTCTCTGTGTGTTTAGGAAAGCCAGTCTGGCTCTGATCAGGAAGATGGTTCACTACAGCAGTGAGGTCCTGCTGAAGGAGGTGTGTGACAGCGAGACGGGACACAACCTTCCCACGGTGCTAGTGGAGATCACTGCTACTGTCCTCGACCAGGAGGTACACACACACACGCTGTCTGACACACACCTCTGTGCAAGTACAACTGTTGGTGCAAGGTAGAGTAAGTTACCTGCTTTTTATGAAGGGAAGGCTGAAACATGTGCAGAGAGACGACGGACCTGCCGATCCTTGTTTAGTTTTCATTTCTCCTCCATTGTTTAATGTGATGGTTGGTCTTGTGATATTTGTCCCGCCCCTCCTCTGCTATGACTGGACGACTTTTCAGTGCAGAATACACACACTGCAGTTCGTTACACTGCTGTCATTTGTTGCTCAATCTGTCATTAAGTCTTTATTTCTGGAGTCAGAAAACAACAAAACTGTTGTCATGGCTACAAATGACATGAAACCTACTGTCTCTGTGTTTCAGGACGATGACGACGGCCACCTCCTTGCTCTGCAGATCATCAGAGATCTGGTGGATAAAGGTGGAGACGTTTTCCTCGACCAGCTGGCTCGACTGGGAGTCATCAACAAGGTGTCCACTCTGGCTGGACCGGCGTCTGATGATGAGAACGAGGACGAAGCCAAACCTGAGAAGGTAGAGGGAAAGAGACAGTGTTAATATGGCACCTCAGATTTGGGACTCGACCCATTTAACAATCCTTTGAGGGTGGTCACTGCAGCATCTGTTATTAATAAAGCAACATACACTTAAATTTTATATTATGATAACAAGGGATCATTCATACAAGGATTTGGTTTGATTAAAAAAAAAAATTTTATTTTAGATTCTATTTATTTACAGTAGAGATGTTTTACTTTCATATCACTGTAACATACTGATTTTCTTGAGGACAAAAATAGTATTTTGGTATGTAGCTCATTTTAAGTTGACTATTTAAAATCGCAGTGTGTAAATATTCTAATTTTTGCACCAAAATATTAATACACAAGGAAGAAATGTGAAACACTGTTTTTACAGTTTTGATGCCAAAGAAGGAATAATAATATATTTTCAGTCACAGTTTAAGAACATGTTAGAAATGAATCTAACTTCACTAGAAATGAATATATCATCCGTGGTTGTTTCTCTTCCTGCAGGAGGAGGAGGCTCAGGAGGATGCAAGGGAGATCCAGCAGGGCAAGCCGTATCACTGGAAGGACTGGTCCATCATCAGAGGGAGGGACTGTCTCTACATCTGGTCTGACGCAGCTGCGCTAGAGCTCTCCAATGGCTCTAACGGCTGGTTCAGGTTCATCCTGGATGGGAAGCTGGCCACCATGTACTCCAGCGGGAGTCCAGAGGGAGGGTCGGACAGCTCCGGTACGAACACCTGACGCGGGACACACTTAGACTCTGCTGGGTTTTTATGTTGCTCCCACTTACCTCCTGTCCTTTTCTTCTCTCCTTGTACAGAGTCTCGTAGTGAGTTCCTGGAGAAGCTGCAGCGTGCAAGGAGTCAGGTGAAACCAGTAACAGCCAGCCAGCCCATCCTGTCCAGTGTGGGTCCCACTAAGCTGACAGTGGGGAACTGGTCTCTGACCTGCCTGAAGGAAGGAGAGATCGCCATCCACAACTCAGACGGACAGCAGGCCACCATCCTAAAGGAAGACCTGCCGGGCTTCGTCTTCGAGTCCAACAGAGGAACTAAACACTCATTCACAGCTGAGACCTCACTGGGTGAGTCTCAGCATTTCCTAGCTGCTCTCTTCAGCCCTTTGTACATAGAGACTGCGCTATAGAGCTGTTATGAAGTCCCTTCTTTACACAGCCTTTGTATTTTTTAAAACCAAACGATGGCTGTGTCATGTCACGTCAGTTTGTGATTGTAGACAGCATACCGGCATTCCAGAAGCAAAAGAGGCATGACGGGCATGACATGTAACACAGCAACATTGGCCTCTAGTGTGACATATAACACACATTGGCAGTGCTTTACAAACAATAACAATGGCGTTAACATGGCAATCACAATCATGTATTGTCCCTGTTAAATGGCAGCTGATCTCATCTTAGTGGCTCTAAGATGGATCCATGAGGAACCCCATAAGATATTTCAGAGTTTAACCAGTTTAAAACAGTCCAATGTGTTCCTGTAGCATATTAAAAGAAATCAATGATCAGCTGTATTAAAGCTGATATCTGGACTTGTGTTGATGTTGGTTTGCGTTGTGTGTGTGTGTGTGTCAAGGCTCAGAGTTTGTAACTGGCTGGACGGGAAAGCGAGGCAGGAAGTTGAAGTCTAAGCTGGAGAAGACGAAGCAGAAGGTGAAGAGCATGGCAAGGGAGCTGTACGACGACCACTTTAAAGCTGTAGAGAGCATGCCCAGAGGAGTAGTGGTCACCCTTAGGAACATCTCCACTCAGCTGGAGTCTGCCTGGGAGCTGCACACCAACAGACAGGTACACACTCACACACACACTTCTAAAACCCTGGATACAGCTCTCTTGATACCAGGATTAATCCCATATTATAAACGATGCTGTGGGTGTTAATGTTGGTATGATTTGTGTTGTCAGTGTATTGAAGGAGAGAACACATGGAGGGACCTGATGAAAACAGCTCTGGAGAACCTGATTGTAGTTTTGAAAGATGAAAACACGATTTCTCCGTATGAGATGTGTAGCAGTGGTCTGGTCCAGGCTCTGTTTACTGTCCTTAACAATGTGAGTGTTCTTTTTAAAAACCATCATTAAACGTAGAAAGTCAAATATCTGATGTAAAGTGAGAGATCCTGTGTCTGTCTGTGTGCAGAGTGTGGAACTGGACCTGAAACACGATTGTAAGCCTTTAATGGAGAGGATCAATGTCTTTAAGGCGGCTTTCAGCGAGAATGAAGACGATGAAAGGTAACGGCACCAAACACCAGATGACATGTTCACACCCTGACCTTTTTAAAGGAATAGTCTCAAGTCTCATGTATCCAGTCATATGCTCCGTACTTCAAACACATGCTTTTTCACTAAAACATTTTGACTTGAAGCGCATCAGGACAAACTAGAGCTCTGATTGGGCCAAAAAAATCAGGCCAGACCATACATAAGTGGGAGCGCTGTCAATCAGACTGCAAGAAGAAGTTGAGTGAGTGCAGCTGTTTGGGAGGACTGTGGGTGTGACGGGGCTTTAACAAAGGGCGGTCCACCTGTTGTCTGTTGTTGTCTCAGATTGTCAGATTAAACCTGAGCTGTGTTTGTGTGTCTGCAGCCGACCAGCTGTTGCCTTAATCCGTAAACTGATAGCTGTCCTGGAGTCAATAGAACGTCTACCTCTGCACTTGTACGACACTCCAGGATCCTCATACAACCTGCAGGTGAGTCGCAGTGTGCTCTGGATCCAGGTCTGTTTCTGAGTGAAATCTTTGTCGTCTATCTTTTGAAGGACAAACTAATGGAGTGTGTTTGTTCTCGTCAGATCTTGACAAGGAGGTTGCGGTTCCGTCTGGAGCGAGCTCCAGGCGAGACAGCTCTGATCGACCGGACGGGTCGCATGTTGAAGATGGAACCGCTCGCTACTGTGGAGTCTCTGGAGCAGTACCTGCTGAAGATGGTGAGGACGCACTGAACACCAGTGTGATGTTTACACATTAGAGACAAATTGAAAACACGAACAGAGAGACTCATCTAACTCATTTAACCTCTTGCTCTTCTTCCTCTTCTTTTGTCCAGGTGGCGAAGCAGTGGTACGACTTTGAGCGTTCATCCTTCGTCTTCGTGAGGAAGCTGAGGGAAGGACAGACCTTCACATTCAGACACCAACACGACTTTGACGAGAATGGAATCATCTACTGGGTTGGAACTAACGCCAAGTAAGAACAGCAACAACAGTTGAACTATGAATATTTATTTAAAGCAAGCTGAGGCTCCAAATGTCACATTTTATGCAGCATGTACATTTTGGCGATTAGGCAGGATAGAATTAATTTAGCTGATTTTTGAGTGGATTTTGTTCTGACAGTGTTAACTATATTTGGACAAATGAAACCTGTGAAATGTCCCATTTTAGTCTTTCACATTTCCTCTGTTTAGAGACTTACTAAAGATGCTTAAAGATGATTTGAACTTTGAATAATATAATATAATTTAATATAATTTGTTGTATTAGTACATGGTAGTTTTAGACCAGACTTCTGGAGTTACATTTTTTATCTCATCACACCTCATCTCTGTCCCTATCAGGACGGCCTATGAGTGGGTGAACCCTGCTGCCTATGGCCTGGTGGTAGTGACATCATCAGAGGGGCGCAACCTACCCTACGGCCGGTTGGAGGACATCCTGAGCAGGGATAGCTCCGCCCTCAACTGCCACACTAATGACGACAAGAATGCCTGGTTCGCTGTTGACCTCGGCCTTTGGGTCATCCCCTCTGCATACACCCTGAGACACGCCAGGTAAAAAAATCAAACACACAGGGTGTAAACAAACGCACCTCTATCCTCAAACATGCTCGGTAACAAGCATAACCAAATACATTCATTGAGATAACTCTTTCCTTTCTCTTCCTCCTTCTCCTCTTGCAGGGGTTATGGCCGCTCTGCATTGAGGAACTGGGTGTTCCAGGTGTCGAAGGATGGTCAGAACTGGACGACTCTTTATACCCACGTAGACGACTGCAGCCTCAACGAACCGGGGTACAGCTTTACTCTTTGTGCCAATAAACTGATCAGTTAATAAATTGCAGTGATCAATTCATTCTGCAGGATACATGACGAAAGTTTGATCAGCAAGTGTGACAAAAAGTACCCAGAATCCCCCACTTATCTTAGAAATAAATGAACACTAAGAGGCAGACATGAACCTGTTTTTTTTCTGAGAGCTCATATTTACAGAAAATCATACATGACTTAAAGGCAGCACACGACATGGAGCTTAATTAACTACAAAGCTGATCTCAGTTTTCATCTGACTGTGTGTGTGTGTGTGTGTGTGTGTGTGTGTGTGTGTGTGTGTGTCAGGTCGACGGCCACGTGGCCTCTGGACCCGTCCAAAGATGAGAAGCAGGGCTGGAGACACATCAGGATCAAACAGATGGGGAAGAACGCCAGCGGTCAGACTCACTACCTGTCTCTGTCCGGACTCGAGCTGTACGGCACCGTCACCGCCGTCTGTGAGGACCAGCTGGGTAAGAACTACCATCTGTAATGGACTGGACAGCATCACACATTTGTCTTGTGACCATCATGTTACCACTGTTTCTTATTAACAGTTAAATGTTTGACATAAACCTTCTTCTCTGTCCTCCTCATTTCAGGTAAAGCTGTGAAGGAGGCAGAGGCCAACCTTCGTCGCCAGCGCCGCCTTTTTCGCTCCCAGGTGATGAAGTACATAGTTCCGGGGGCGCGGGTTGTCCGCGGCATCGACTGGAAGTGGCGTGACCAAGACGGGAACCCTGCTGGAGAGGGCACCGTCACCGGAGAGGCTCACAACGGTAAGACACTGAAACTTAAGACTTAAAAACTCATCATTCATCCTGCAGCATGAGAGGATTCGATGGATTCACAAACCAACCAGAGTAACTGTTTAATGTGAAGTGAGTTAATGTTTAATAACTTCTCTTGTCCTCAGGTTTGTTAACAGGAGTCCAGATTCGTGTATCAGCACTCAGAGGATCAACTGTGGAAAGATATTTGTTCCAGCAGAAAACTTGGATTTGTATTTTTGTAATTGAAATTCAGAAGTTCACATTTTGGTGCAGGAACACCTCAGTTGTTATTTAGATTAAGCTTTTTGAAACATTACATTCAGAGACTAAGGAAAGAAAACAAGCACAAATTTCAAAATAATGCACAATGCAAACCCAGCAACATCGGTACAAATTTATTTGAGTTTTATTGCCTGCTGGTTCAAATATCTGTCCACAGTCAACATTCATGTTTTACTCTGTAATCTGTGTCCTCAGCAGGTTCCTGTAGGAACGTCTTCATTAACCATTTTCTCCCTGAATACCTGACCTTTAACATAACCTCTGTGGTGTTCAGTGTCTGATAGAAACATCACCCCTGTCTGTGTCTCTGTACAAACCAGCAATCGTACTCACAATCAGCTGTTAGGATGGTGGCGTGACATGTGCTAGCTTAGTTTACAGTTAGCTAATTAATAGCAAACTTCCTGTGGCTGACTGTGACGGCCCTTTCCATTATTGCTCTCAAGTTTTCTAATCCATCATCCAGCTGCAGCCACAAACAGACAACTCACAACCAGCAGAGACTTTAAGTACATTTTTTTGCACCTGCAGAAAAAGGAACAGTGTCAGGAAAGTACAGCGAGTCCTTACAGGGAAACCTACGACCTCAGACAGATGTAGCAAAATCGTGGATTACACTTATTACCCACTTGACTGAATCACCTTCACTGCCTACCTCGATTGATAAGTCAGCTACATGTGACATCTTTTTCCAAATACTCATAAACCTGTAAAACAAGATGGAGTGATAAAAAACACATCAGCAGACAAAATAAACAAAGGTTTTTCAGTGTGACTTACAGGTGAATGATGTCTCCCAACAGGTCACCTGGACAGTCGCTGTTACATCAGATCTTAATAAAAGTTCTTAATTTTGCTCTCGCAGGACGTAACGAACACCTTCCTCCCTCCTTCCTCCTCCTCTCCTCCTCTTCCTCTCTGCCTCGCTCCTCTCGGTGTTTCTGTGTTTTGACTCAGATCTGATGTTCGACGCCACCAGCAGCTCTGTTGATTATCATTTTTAAAAATCATACACCAGGATTATTGTTGTTTAATTTCTTTCTTTGTGGCTTTGACGCTTTTTGCATTTGCCAGAAATATTTTTCTACTTTTGCTTTGATTGTCATTTTCTGTGACTGTGTTCATATTTTTCTCTCTCATCGCTCCACCTGGACTACAAACCTCCCCGAGGGGAGTTTTAAAACAAGTCAACAGATTTTTCTGTAAGGCTTTGGTTCCCAAACCCATGATTAAACATTCACTCTGTATCATGTTATGTTGAGGTCAATAACAAATAACAGGTGCTCTGCAGATTGACAGATAAATCTTTAAACTGAAATGAACAAATACAGTTAAAATGTGCTAATATGTTAAATAGATTTCTTAATTTCTTTAAGATTTGCTTTTATTTAAGGTGTTTAAAGACAAAGAAGTAAACACCAGAGTTGTTTTGAGTCTGATGACCACCAACTGCAAATTAAAATAGTTTTTATACAGTGATTGTGGCAGTTTCTGCTTTTTACATTCTCTTTTTATATGTTTGGAAACACAGCATAAAACATAGTTAATATAAACATTAACATAATTTAAGATGTTCTTAGAAACTCACAATAAATGAACAGTGTGATAGATATTGCAGCGCCTGTGGCTTTTGGGAACCTCTGCTTTTAAAGTCACAGTGAAACAGAATTTTTCCACTTCATTTCTTCATATTAAATTAGGACTTTCTAGGCTTTTCCATATGTACAGACCAACGACGGGATATAAAGTTGGAGGATGTATCTCCACAAAAATACAAAAATGAATCCAAAATTTCCTGAATGTGGCCGCTGCCATCTCCCGCTGGTGACATCATTTGGAGCCAGAGTCTGTGCAGTAGCGATCTCCAAGGCCTTGAGTTCTATACACCCGTCCAACCTATCATGAGCAGCACCACTGATTGCAAGCACACGATTAGCACACACAGCTGTCAATCATAATGTCAACCTCCCTTTAATAGCATCAAATAACTATTTGTAACCAAACTAATCAGAAAAAAAAATTGTAAGAAACCATCTTTGGTCAAAATTTATTTGACGTGTACGTTGAGTTTTTAGTTTGGCTCATGTTCCATACACTAAAGGTCCTGACACATTAAACCGATGGTTGGCCAATGGTGAACGTTAGCCTGCCAGTGGGCCTCTTCAGTAAATGAAATCACTCTGATTGGCAGTTTAGCTCGGTGCAGGGGTGAGGAAGTGAGGAATGTAAACAGAGTTTAGTGATGGTTTGTATTATTGTTCATGGCACACGGTAAAATGCTCTGTTCTTTCAACACTGGATTGTGTTGTTAGTGTGCTAACTGGCTAACTAGTGTTAGGACAGTCTTCCGGTTTCAGCTTTTGAATGACAATTGCATACTGCTGCCATCTGCTGCTGTGGAGAGTTATTTCCTCTCACACAGGTGCAGAACGTACGTGCTAGTTGGCCATAGGCTTTAGTCCTCCGCGGTGTGTTCATGTGCAAATTTGGCAATGCAGCAGGTGGCCTTTGTCACAGCTAACTCTCTGAAGTTGGTGCGTGTGTGACTTTACATGGAGGGGTCTGGGTTAGGGACCTATACTGCAGCCAGCCACTAGGGGCGATCGAAATGTGTTGGCTTCACTTTTGGGGAGCTGTCATGTCATCCATCCTTATATACAGTCTTGGGTACATTCATACAAAGCATTTGCATTTTAAGAACTGCAGTAAAGTGAAAACCCTCAGGAGAAATTCCCTGATAATCCACAGCGCATGGTAGGGGTGGGTTGTATGGCCATTTGGATTATATCATGTTAACAGTATATCTCGCAATGCCGTGATTGTTCTTTAATTTTAATTAAGAAATAGTTAAAAAGAACTATACTGTACTTCATCACATTTGATTTCACGTTCTTCTTTTATTTAGATCATCCATTACCCTACACTAATGTATATTGTACAAGGGACCCCTGTCTCTTCAATAGGGTTCGGAATCATTCAATATTTATCAGTAATAGTGTGTTTTTAGGCACCAATATATTAAAACAGTGATTACAAACATGAATATTTGCCTGATAGTTTTCAGCAATCGGTGCTACAGAAAAAATTCAGCCAGTATTTTTTACAGTGTTAAGGTCAATTACCCAGCTTTAATATTTTTATATAGTTTTGTGATACGCACAGTAATCAGATCAAACACGTCCTTTATTGTACTTTACAGAAAACTAAAAACTAAAATTGTGCTACTTAAGACTTAAAGAAAATTTGCATAAAAGAGATCTTTAAAAATAATTAAAAGAATAAATGAATTTCTTTAGTTTTGGAAAACTACCTCTGCAATATGTCCTCTAAAATTTCTACTTAATAAAAAACTTTTTGTGATTGTTATAATTAGAGAACAGGTTCATGGTTTCATTGTGACTTTAAAGGAACATTTCACACAAACGATCCCGCAGTGATCTGGTCCAGTGTGGAGCTGTGTGGGGCTGCTCTGACTGTAAGCTGCTTCTTTGCTGTCTGTCTACCTCCCTCTACCTCTCTGTCTCTACCTGTCTCTACCTGTCGCTGTCTCTCTGTCTGTCTCTCTCTCTGCCGGGTCTCTGACATCCATCCGTCCGTCTCCCTCCTATCTCTCTGTCCATCCAGGCTGGATTGATGTAACCTGGGATGCTGGCGGCTCTAACTCTTACCGTATGGGCGCTGAAGGGAAGTTTGACCTCAAGCTTGCTCCAGGGTACGACCCTGAGTCGGCTGCCACAGCGCCGTCACCCAAACCTGTCTCATCCACTGTTTCAGGCCCCGCCTCCTCCACGGTGGGACCCTCCGCGACGCCGGCGGCCAGCGGCGGCACCACCACCACCACGTCCTCCTCGTCCTCCTCCACCTCATCTTCCTCGCAGCAGCAGTCGTGGAGCAGCCTGGTGAAAAATAACTGTCCCGACAAGGGCGGGGCCACGTCTCTCGGCGGGGCCAGCTCCTCCAGCAGGAAGGGCAGCAGCAGCTCCGTCTGCAGCGTCGCCTCTTCCTCCGACATCAGCCTGAGCTCCTCAGCGGGGCTGCCTGGTGCGGGGGGGCTGCGGCTGGAGAGGAGGGCCGAGGGGCTGCTGCTGGACCAGGGCTCTGGGGTGGGAGGAGTAACTGGGGTCGGCGCTGACGGACACCAACATGAGCCGATTGTCGTGCTGTCCTCTGCGGCAGAGGGTGGGTCTGGCTCAGTATCCAGCTCTGGCACGCTTACCGCCGACACGCCTGCTCCTGGAGATGAAGCCAGAAACAAGGACTCATCCACAGCAACTGACCCAGCAACAGCAATCTCCATGGGCCTGGTGAGCGTGAGCTCCCCAGATGTCAGCTCGGTGTCGGAGTCATCCAGTAAGGACACGCCCTCCCAGAGGCCTCTGTGCTCAGCGGCTAATGCCCGGTTGTCCGTCAGCTCCCTGCTGGCTGCTGGCGCACCCATGAGCTCCAGCGCCAGCGTGCCTAACTTGTCATCACGGGAGGCCAGCCTCATGGAGTCCTTCGTCCGCCGTGCGCCCAACATGTCACGCACCAACGCCACCAACAACATGAACCTGAGCCGCAGCAGCAGCGACAACAACACCAACACACTTGGCAGGAACGTCATGAGTACTGCTAGTAAGTACTGCTGTATTACTACACTAATACTACACCGTAACTGCCAGGGAGTACTGCTGTATTACTACACTAATACTACACCGTAACTGCCAGGGAGTATTGCATTATTACTACACTAATACTACACCGTAACTGCCAGGGAGTACTGCTGTATTACTACACTAATACTACACCGTAACTGCCAGGGAGTATTGCATTATTACTACACTAATACTACACCGTAACTGCCAGGGAGTACTGCTGTATTACTACACTAATACTACACCGTAACTGCCAGGGAGTACTGCTGTATTACTACACTAATACTACACCGTAACTGCCAGGGAGTACTGCAGTATAACTACACTAATACCACACCGTAACTGCCAGGGAGTACTGCTGTATAACTACACTAATACTACACCGTAACTGCCAGGGAGTACTGCTGTATTACTACACTAATACTACACCGTAACTGCCAGGGAGTACTGCAGTATTACTACACTGTGGCTGCCAGGGAGTACTGCAGTATTACTACACTAATACTACAGTGTAGTACTTTTCTGTCTGAAGTTAGTTTGAAAGTTTGAAATTTTCTCTTTTTTTCAAAGCTAGCTGGAAACTGAGTAGCTCTCTATTAAAAGCTAATTAAAAAATCACTATTCTAGCCACAGTAATAATTGATAGCAGGCCAAATGAATATAGCTGTGTAGTGTTTGGATAAACTCCACTATGAAAGCTCTCAGACTCTGGTGGCTAAGGAGCAGGAATTTTCTTAAAGCTGGATCCAGGTTCCTGCGGTCAAACTGTAGGTGAATTTCCAAACAGCATCCCTGGAAATGTTCTGGTGGTTGAGACGTACCAGTAAGCTGCAAACAAAACCATCTCAGCAGCGCTGTGAAGTGACAGGAAGTGTCTAACCTAAGAGATCATCTCAACCTACTTTGGACTCCAGTTAAATGTTTTTGCTCAGAGGTGATTGTTGGTGGTTGTTGTGAGATGTGAGACCAGATGTTTCGGTCTGCATCCTGCCGGGCGAACAGCATGAGCATCCTCCAGCCAATCAGCAGCTGTTTCCAGTCAGCTGACTGGATTTTAACGAGCTTCACCTGCAGCTTTGTCTCCTTGGTTCCTGACAAACTAACCGCCCTTTGTTTGTTTGTTTGTTTGTTTGTTTGTTGTTTGTTTGCAGCTTCTCCTCTCATGGGCGCTCAGAGCTTTCCTAACCTCACCACCACTGGCACCACCTCCACCGTTACCATGTCAACCTCCATAGTAACCAGCAGCAATAACGTAGCCACGGCCACCACGGGTCTGTCGGTGGGCCAGTTGCTAAGCAACACCCTGACGACCAGCCTGACGTCCACGTCCAGCGAGAGTGACACAGGCCAGGAGGCCGAGTTCTCTCTCTATGGTTGGTGACCCCACACACACACACACACACACACACACAGACACACACACAGCCTGCTTCAGCTAACCTGCTGTCTAACTTTTCTGACATCAGAGCAGATTAGCAAACTAAAATATCCCATATCCCAACCCTTTCTGAACAGGTCACATGATTTATTTTTTTTAAACATCACTCTCTGTCCTTGAAAAGCGTTTTTACTGCAGGTGAATTTAAAAGAGCAGCAAAATGAAGTGTGAGCATGTCTGAAACTATTATTTTCATTACTGATGATTTCCTCAATTTATCTTTGAGGCTACAAATGTCAAGAATAGCAACATATCCTAAAACATTCTAAAAGCAGAGCCTGGTTTCTCTTTAAATATTTTGAACTTAGTGTCTGTTCAATACCAGAGTTGTGTCTATGTTACAAAATGAAACTGATATTTATTGATGTTCAGTTTTGGGGCACCCATTAGCTCACCTAGTAGAGCAGGCACCTAATGTACAAAGGCCTTGAACTTGCCATGGCAGCCGCTGGCTCGATTCCAACCTACAACCCTTTGCTGCATGTCATCCCCCCTCTCTATCTCCCTCTTTTACACTAAAACAACTGTCCCAACAATTAAAGGCAAAAAGCCCTAAAAATATCTTAAATTGTATCTAATATACATGTGTTATATTGCAAAGCAGTTTTTGGTATTATGTAAAGTAATTCAGGTTTCTCAAATGAACAAACAGCTCTACAAGAGTTACATCGCCGTCTCAAATGACCAACCTGATGAGTTGAATTTGAAAATACCTGATATAATAGTAGGTAAATCAAAACAGTCAGACTAAGGATTTATTGACTGCTTTCAATACTTGACATGTTCCAAACTCAGTGCTGCAGACAAAATGTAATTTGTTTTTTAAGATTTGTTTCCCCTTTTATTGTTTTAATCTATGAATAACCAAACTTGATATCCATCTCAAGAAAAACAGTCCCAAAGCAAGAAAGCAGAATATGGTGTGCAGTCTGAGGACACGGACCATCAGCTGCTCTAATAGCAACTTGAATTCAGCAAGCCGAGCCCAGGTTTCTCACCAGATGAGCAAACTTTCTGTTGCTGCCATTACACAGATTAGATCCAGCCCGATGTGATGTTGGTGCTGGGATTTCGACTTGTTCCAGCCGTGACTGAGACCATCTCTAGACCTTGCGCTTGCTCTCTTCCCTTGCGAATAGTCTAATGGTTGGAAGAGGCATATCGACTTACCAGTGATGCTTAAATAAGTAAAACATGACAACAGATTTTTTTTCCCCCAGTACCCCAATATCGGATCGCAGTACTTTGTAAAACATAAATTGTAAAACATAATAAATCTGCACCCAGGTATTGTGATAGTGTCGTGTTGTGAGATAAACATTGGGCTTTTAGAAGCCAGAATGTGTATTTAACCTTCATTATTTAATATTTGTTTCGGCTGCACACGTTCTTTTGGTCATCTCCGGTAGTTGTATTTGGCACAGGGGTGTGGTTTCACATTATTTTATCTGTTCATCACTGACGTAGAGGCTCTTAAGGCTTTAAATCTGTGGAGCTGGATTTTAAGATGTTCCCTTTGTTGCTTCAGCCAGCATCATGTTTCCTCATGTCTCTTTCTCTCCCTTTTCTAACCTCCTGCAGACTTCCTGGACAGCTGTCGTGCCAACACACTACTGGCTGAGCTGGACGACGAGGAGGACCTCCCAGAGCCTGACGACGACGATGACGAGAACGAAGACGACAATCAGGAGGACCAGGAGTACGAGGAGGTCCTGGTAATAGACCTTTTTAATAAAACAGTGCCTGTAGATCAGCACTCACCTGGCACTGTGAGTCTGGAGCAACAGGAAGTGATGTCAGAGGGTGTGATGAGTGACTGGCTGCTGTCCCCGCAGGAGGAGGAGGAGTACGAGACCAAAGGAGGTCGCAGGAGGACGTGGGACGACGACTTCGTCCTGAAGAGACAGTTCTCTGCTCTCGTCCCTGCCTTTGATCCCCGACCAGGAAGAACCAACGTCCAGCAGACCACCGACCTGGAGATCCCCCCGCCAGGTACAACACACACACACACACACACACACACACACACACACACACACACACACACACAAGAAGGATCCTAAAATTGATCTCAGTAATGTATAAGTGGAGCGAGAACAAAAATGTCAAGAAATAAGTTATGAAGTCAAGCAAACAATAATAGTATCTGTTGGGTTGATGATGATGATGAACATGTATAAACATCCAAAGCTCTGGTCATGTTCACAACTTAATTTCTACCCAGTCTTTTAAACCACTGCTCAGAGAAGGTTTTTATCAGATACTAGCAAATGCCTCTTCGAGATTCAGGATGTCCCAGTGTTTACTTTGAGTCATCACTTCCTGTGTTGATCTGAATATAAGATGTGAACTGTTCCACATTCCAGCCCAGCTCATTACACTCTCACTTAGATTATATAACTGAAGCAAATGTTATCTGAGTATTTAAACTTAACTAAACTTTCTTTTTTGTCTGTCAGGAACTCCTCGTTCGGAGGTTCAGGAGGAGGTGGAGTGCGCGCCGTCCCCTCACCTCTCTCTCACCCTGAAGGTAAGAAAGTCAGGAAATATATTGTTTATTTATAAGACTGTATTGTGAACGGTTTAACTCCAGGCATAGAGCTGAGTCTGTAATCAGAACAATCACATCCTGCAGGTTGGAAAAGTTTGGAGTTTGAAATTGGAACACGAGATTTAAGTTTAATTTACAGGTTTAAATGTTAAATGTTGGCTCATGTGTGCGTTCAGGTGGCGGGGCTGGGTACGACCCGGGAGGTGGAGCTTCCTCTGTCCAACTACAAGTCCACCATCTTCTACTACGTCCAGCGGCTGCTGCAGCTATCCTGCAGTGGAGCCGTGAAGACAGACAAACTGCGACGCATCTGGGAGCCCACTTACACGTAAGAGTCATGACTGAGTCCGAGTCCGAGTCTGAGGTGTTTGATGGTTTCACAGATGAATAATTTCTGTTCTGTTTCGTCCTGCAGGATAATGTACAGAGAGCTGAAGGACTCTGACAAAGAGAAGGAGAGCGGGAAGATGGTGAGTCACACTTTCAATGCACATCACTGTTTTCTCTTTGAGTAACACCCTCACAAAGTTTTAGAAAATATAGATACAAATGATCCCAGCTGAGGTTGAAAAAGTGGACAGACATGAACATGATAAGATGTCTGCTGAACATGACATCATTCTGGGTCAGGCTTCTGTTTATTCTTGATTTATTTCCAGCAGTGTAGCCAGTGTAGATCTGTACTACTGCCCCACCTCTTACCTCCGCCTCTCTCCAAAGACCAAAACCTAATAATACAAAAGAATAAAAGTATCACAGAAGCTCCGCAGAAAAAACGGAGGATGTCCCCTCTTCTTTGACGTCTGCTTCTGACCAGCTCATTTTTAAACCTTTTGATGTTTGGCAGCCGATCAGTTGGACTTGTTACAGTAACAAACTTGAAACTGAAATGATTTTGTATTTAATAATTAACAAAATAAAGTGAAGCAGAATATAAACACATCTGACAACAGATAATTTTATTTTTGAATCGTCAAGCTTGTTTGATTTAGAAGCTTTCAGATCAGCATCAGCAGAATAAACCCAGCTGACCTCTGACCCTTTGACCTCTCTCCCTCCTCCAGGACTTGTGTGAACACAGTATCAGTATATCAGGAGGTCGTTCTGGAGGTTTGAGCCCCGGCTCCGTCTCGGCCAATCAGAGCAGTGAGATTCTGTGCGTTGCCCGGGAGATGGCGCAGGCGAAGGCGGGCTGCAGCCAGAACGCCTGCGGGGTGGAGGACGTCCTGCAGCTCCTACGCATCCTTTACATCATCGGAGGAGACGCAGCGTCCAACGCACGCACGCTGCAGGAGGGTACGAACACACATAATTTTAAAGTCTCAGGTTTTCTTTTTCTTCATCCAAGATTGTTTGTGTCTCATTTTCCTTTTAATGAATAAACGTATGAGCTTTGAGTGGTCAGCTCCAGCCTGTCAACAACAAGGGTTGTATAGGATACACCACACAAAGCAGGGCGACAGACGCTCACTGAAGGCGGACCAGTTTGGTGTGTCTGCATGGATTAGATTTATTTTTTGATTCTACTAGATTGACAAACAACAACCAGTACTGACAGTGAAAACACAACCTTAAATTAGAAATTAGAATCACTTAGATACCGAATTCTGAGTACTGCTGATGCCACTGTATATTTGAATTTTATCGGTTTTGAGAATTTTCTTTTTCTTTTTTGCAGACTTTGACGAGCTGCAGTTCAATGCATCTCCAGAGGAGTTCACCAGTAAGAAGATCACGACCAAGATTCTGCAGCAGATTGAGGTCCGTTCATATGAGAGAGCAGATTTATAAACAGTGATGACTTGTTTCATCAAGGTGTTGTTGTAAGAACGTTAAAGTTTGTGTGTGATGGCAGCAGAGTTTGACCTGAGTGTGTTTTTTGTCTCTCAGGAGCCTCTGGCTCTGGCCAGCGGAGCTCTGCCCGACTGGTGTGAACAGCTCACCTCCAAGTGTCCTTTCCTCATCCCCTTTGAGACCCGGCAGCTCTACTTCACCTGCACAGCGTTTGGAGCATCCAGGTGAGTCTTAACTGAGACTTGCTGTCTGTGACCTCTGACCCTGACTGTATCCTCCCTCTCCCACCCTGAGCCTTGACTTTCGGTCCTGACCTGTGACCTCTGCCCACTGACGTGTCTCTTTACCTGACCACAATCGTTGACCTCTGACCCCCAGATGTGTCCGCAGGGCGATCGTGTGGCTCCAAAACCGGCGGGAGGCGACCATGGAGCGGTCCAGGCCGTCCACCACGGTGCGGCGTGACGACCCCGGAGAGTTCAGGGTGGGTCGGCTCAAACACGAGCGAGTCAAAGTCCCCAGAGGAGAAGCCATGATGGAGTGGGCGGAGTCCGTCATGCAGCTGCATGCTGACAGGAAGTCGGTGCTGGAGGTGAGATAGCGACACAAAACGCTGACACACACACACACACACACACACACACACACAGTGAGGTTTAAAGAACAACTGCGACCCCTACAGCTTCATTTATACATTCACTGTTACACTGATTTAACTGTTTCAGTAAACAGTTTCCACATTAACAGGCAGGAAACACTCGATTTTTTTGTTGAGTCTAAAAAATGTTAGAGAATAAATATTAACATGATATATTTAGGACTACATATACATTCAGTTGGACTACAGATTCTTTTATGAGGAGAACAAAGGTATTTTTAATTTTACTCTGGAGCCCTGTGTTATATAAATGTTTTCAGTACATGACTTACATATTTTCTGAAAGGTTTTCTTGCATTATTGCTCTTTTGAAAAGTTACCTCACCTTTCAGTAAATAGCAGCAACTTTTTGCTTCACAGACAAAAAGCACTTGAATGTAAAGAAACACTCTCCTGGTCGTGTTCTGATGGCGTTAATGCCTCCAAATTGTACTAACTCATCTTTAACAAAGTCAAGTATATAATGTACGTGTATTATATCTATTTGTGTGTATGTGTGTCTAGGTGGAGTTTCAGGGGGAGGAGGGAACAGGTCTTGGTCCGACTCTGGAGTTCTATGCCTTAGTGGCTGCAGAGTTTCAGAGAACATCACTGGGGATCTGGCTGTGTGAAGACGACTTCCCTGATGACGAGTCCAGACAGGTGAGATACACAAAGTTTTTAAGTTTTACTGGCATCAGGTCGATTCACATCTTCCTGTATATGAACTGAACGCTCTGTAGTGTCGTGAACACTAAAACACTCGACATGAGAGCTCTGCTGGTGCATTCAGGGGACAGACACATAGCTGATAACAGTGTGATGGCTGTATGGATTCTCTCAGCTTGAGTTTGTGAACCCTCCGCAGTAAATGGATCCTTGTCCTGTGTCTCAGGTGGACCTGGGTGGCGGTCTGAAGCCTCCTGGTTTCTATGTGCAGCGCTCCTGCGGTCTGTTCCCAGCTCCGTTCCCTCAGGACAGCGAGGAGCTGGAGCGAATCACCAAGCTCTTCCACTTCCTGGGCGTCTTCCTGGCCAAGTGCATTCAGGACAACCGGCTGGTGGACCTACCCGTCTCCCAGCCCTTCTTCAAGCTGCTCTGCATGGGGGACATCAAGTCCAACATGAGCAAACTGCTGTACCAGAGCCGCAGCTCGCCGCAGGGTCACGACCCCGACAGACCCCACCTGCAGTCCTTCCTGCTGCTGTCCGAGGTGCAGTCGGAGGCGTCCACCGAGGAGAGCCAGGAGACGTACTCTGTGGGCAGCTTTGACGAGGACTCCAAGTCTGAGTTCATCATGGACCCCCCAAAACCCAAACCGCCTGCCTGGTACCACGGCATCCTCACTTGGGACGACTTCCAGCTCGTCAACCCGCACAGGTGAGACACAGAGAGAGGCATCGACAGGTGGATCACAATGTTCAACTCTTCTCACTGTCAGCTTGTCATTTTGATTTATTAACTCAAGCTCAGTGTTTTAAAGGAACATTGCATGTTTTTTTCTGAACATAAATACTGAACTTTACTGCCAGCTGTTGTGCTGCTTTTGTTTCAGATTTTTAACTTTAATTCCTTCTTTTAATCATTTATTGTCAGTATATGAAGATGTAATCAGTTTATAACACTTACTTTTCATTTCTCTCCAACCTCTTCTCTTCTTTCTTCTCTTCTTTCTTCTCCTTCTCTTCCTCCTCTTCCTGCTCCTGCAGGGCGAGTTTCCTGAAGGAGGTGAAGGAGCTGGCAGTGAAGAGGAGGCAGATTCTGTCCAGTAAGAGTTTGTCTGAAGATGAGAAGAACACCAGACTGCAGGACCTGATGCTGAGGAACCCACTAGGCTCTGGACCCCCCCTCAGCATAGAGGACCTCGGGTAAGACAAACAACCACTCACACTTTTCACACGCACATCACAGCCTTTTGGTCTCTATGGTAACACCCCCAGCAACTCCAGTATCTCAACTTCACCCTCTGGATCAGATCTTACTGGTGGATAGAGGCTGAGTGGTGCGTTTAAGGACCAAGACAAAACTGAAAGTTTATCAGAACAAATCTAAATGCAGATGTATAAATGTATGCAGCTTAATCCTAACACTGCTCGATGAGTGAAGACAGGCAAGTGTTTTATACCTATGAAGTTATTTGACTCAATTGAGTCTTTAAAAAAAAAAACAACAACCTAAAACAGATCACAGAGCTTTAAAGGAGGTCGTTAGCAGCTGGTTTCTGTTCAGATGAGAACACGTCAGATAGCTGTTCAGTCAAATGAACCTCTGTCTCTTCTTGTTTTCTTCTCTTCAGGTTAAACTTCCAGTTCTGTCCGTCCTCGAAGGTTCACGGTTTCTCAGCTGTGGATCTGAAACCAAACGGAGACGATGAGGTAAAAACACACCTGTTGATACAGAGACATGAGATCTGTGTGGCAGTGAGCATGAACTTCTGCTGATGAATAAACAAATGTGTTTATTCAGACTGGAAACTTGAATCGATTTCATATAAACAGTGTTTCTCAACATGTTTTGATTTTACTGAATTTGTAACATACACTAAATATGTGTGTGTAGATGGTGACGATGGAGAATGCAGAGGAGTACGTGGAGTTGATGTTTGACTTCTGTATGCACACCGGCATCCAGAAACAGATGGAGGCCTTCAGAGGTACGTACACACAAACACACACACCACCTGGCTGCAGTGTCGTCTCCTCAGTTAGTGACTTAATCATTGTAATTTTTTAATTTTTCTTCAGTCTCACAGTGATCCAGTGACAATACTCTGCACATCCAAACAGAAGCTGCTCACACGTCATTCAGCTCATTGTGACCACATGGATACTAATCCTCCTCTCTTCTCTCTTCTCTCTTCTTCTATGTCCTCCTCTCTTTTCTCCTGTCTTGTCTCCTTTCCTCAGAGGGTTTTAATCGAGTGTTTCCGATGGAGAAGTTGAGCTCTTTCAGCCACAAGGAGGTTCAGATGATCCTCTGCGGCAACCAATCACCGTCCTGGACTGCTGATGACATCATCAACTACACAGAGCCAAAGCTGGGTTACACCAGAGACAGGTGTGTCTCCGCAGACAGGTGTTTCCTGTTTTATATAAAGGAGTTACTGGCGTGTCCCCACGGACAGGTGTTTCCATAGAAGAGTTACATGTGTGCCTCCACAGACAGGTGCTTTCTGTTTAAAGATTATTTTTTGGGGGGCTTTTTTGCCTTTAATATATAGGACAGAGTGAAATGGGGTGAGAGAGAGAGAGCGGGGGGTGACATGCAGTAAATGGTTGCAAGCCGGACTCAAACCTGCAGCCACTGCATCGAGCCATTGCCTCTGTACATGGGGTGCTGGCACTATCCACTACGCTACCAACGCCCCAAGGTGCTTTCTGTTTCATATAGAAGAGTTATAGGTGCATCTCCACAGACAGGTGTTTCCTGTTTATATGGAAGAGTTATAGGTGCATCTCCACAGACAGGTGTTTCCTGTCTATATAGAAGAGTTACAGGTGCATCTCCGTGGACAGGTGTTTCCTGTTTATATAGAAGAGTTACAGGTGCGACGCCACAGACAGTTGTTTCCTGTTTATGTAGAAGAGATTCAGGTGTGTCTCCGCAGACAGGTGTTTCCTGTTTATATAGAAGAGTTAAGGGTGTGTCTCTGCAGACAGGTGTTTTCTGTTTAATATTGAGGAGATACAGGTGAGTCTCCTCGGACAGGTGTTTTTATAGAAGAGTTACAGATGCTACTGAGCAGACAGACGTTTCCTGTTTATGTAGAAGAGTTACAGGTGTGTCTCCGTGGACAAGTGTTTTGTGTTTATATAGAAGAGTTAAGGGTGTGTCTCTGCAGACAGGTGTTTTCTGTTTAATATTGAGGAGATACAGGTGAGTCTCCTTGGACAGGTGTTTTTATAGAAGAGTTACAGATGCTACTGAGCAGACAGACGTTTCCTGTTTATGTAGAAGAGTTACAGGTGTGTCTCCGTGGACAAGTGTTTTGTGTTTATATAGAAGAGTTAAGGGTGTGTCTCTGCAGACAGGTGTTTTCTGTTTAATATTGAGGAGATACAGGTGAGTCTCCTTGGACAGGTGTTTTTATAGAAGAGTTACAGATGCTACTGAGCAGACAGACGTTTCCTGTTTATGTAGAAGAGTTACAGGTGTGTCTCCGTGGACAAGTGTTTTGTGTTTATATAGAAGAGTTAAGGGTGTGTCTCTGCAGACAGGTGTTTTCTGTTTAATATTGAGGAGATACAGGTGAGTCTCCTTGGACAGGTGTTTTTATAGAAGAGTTACAGATGCTACTGAGCAGACAGACGTTTCCTGTTTATGTAGAAGAGTTACAGGTGTGTCTCCGTGGACAAGTGTTTTGTGTTTATATAGAAGAGTTAAGGGTGTGTCTCTGCAGACAGGTGTTTTCTGTTTTATATTGAGGAGATACAGGTGAGTCTCCTTGGACAGGTGTTTTTATAGAAGAGTTACAGATGCTACTGAGCAGACAGACGTTTCCTGTTTATGTAGAAGAGTTACAGGTGTGTCTCCGTGGACAAGTGTTTTGTGTTTATATAGAAGAGTTAAGGGTGTGTCTCTGCAGACAGGTGTTTTCTGTTTTATATTGAGGAGATACAGGTGAGTCTCCTTGGACAGGTGTTTTTATAGAAGAGTTACAGATGCTACTGAGCAGACAGACGTTTCCTGTTTATGTAGAAGAGTTACAGGTGTGTCTCCGTGGACAAGTGTTTTGTGTTTATATAGAAGAGTTAAGGGTGTGTCTCTGCAGACAGGTGTTTTCTGTTTAATATTGAGGAGATACAGGTGAGTCTCCTTGGACAGGTGTTTTTATAGAAGAGTTACAGATGCTACTGAGCAGACAGACGTTTCCTGTTTATGTAGAAGAGTTACAGGTGTGTCTCCGTGGACAAGTGTTTTGTGTTTATATAGAAGAGTTAAGGGTGTGTCTCTGCAGACAGGTGTTTCCTGTTTTATATAGAGGAGTTACAGGTGTTTGTCCGCGGACAGGTATTTCCTGTTTATATAATAGAGTTACAGGTGCGTCTCTGTGGACAGGTGTTTCCTGTTTATGTAGAAGAGTAACAAATATGTCTCCGCAGACAGGTGTTTTCTGTTTTATATAGAAGAGTTACAGGTGTTTGTCCGCGGACAGGTATTTCCTGTTTATATAGTAGAGTTACAGGTGCGTTTCCGCAGACAGGTGTTTCCTGTTTATATAGAGTAGATTCAGGTGTGTGTCCGCGGACAGGTGTGTCCTGTTTATATAGAAGAGTTAAAGGTGCGTCTCCGCGGACAAGTGTTTTGTGTTTATATAGAAAAGTTAAGGGTGTTTTTCTGCAGACAGGTGTTTTCTGTTTTATATAGAGTTACAGGTGAGTCTCCGCGGACAGGTGTTTATATAGAAGAGTTACAGATGCTACTCAGCAGACAGACGTGTCCTGTTTATGTAGAAGAGTCACAAATGCGTCTCCGCAGACAGGTGTTTCCTGTTTTATATAGAGGAGTTACAGGTGTGTGTCCGCGGACAGGTGTTTCCTGTTTATATGAAAGAGTTACAGGTGCGTCTCTGTGGACAGGTGTTTCCTGTTTATGTAGAAGAGTTTCAGGTGCGTCTCCACAGACAGGTGTTTTTCCTGTTTATATAGAGGAGATTCAGGTGTGTCTCTGCAGACAGGTGTTTCCTGTTTATATAGAAAAGTTACAGGTGCGTCTTCTTGGACAGGGAATGAAAACATAGTTCAGCACCTGTGTGATGTAACCTGTCTCTCTTCTCTTCAGTCCCGGCTTCCTGCGGTTTGTCAGAGTTTTATGTGGGATGTCATCTGACGAGAGGAAAGCGTTCCTACAGTTCACCACCGGCTGCTCCACGCTGCCCCCCGGCGGCCTTGCCAACCTGCACCCCCGCCTCACCATCGTCAGGAAGGTAAACTCGCTCTCTGATTAGCTCGTCAGCTACAGAGCAAACACTCTGACTGTTTCTGTTGTTACATCTCCTCCTCCTCCTCCAAATTTTGATAACCTGATGTTGCATTCATGTCATGTGGGAGTTCAAAGTTCTCCCTGGTAAAGAGCTTCACGTCAGTGTTAATTTAGGCAGCTATTTTAGATTTAGCCTTTAGATCAAAGTGTTTGAGTTTTAGTCACATTTTAGTCATTTTTATCTGTTATAGTTATAGTCAACAAAAAAGTAAATAACTTTGTGGCAAAATGTTTCATAATCGTGTGTGTGTTTGGCCGCAGGTGGACGCCACCGACTCCAGCTACCCATCAGTCAACACGTGCGTTCACTACCTGAAGCTTCCGGAATATTCCTCCGAGGACATCATGAGAGAGCGTCTGTTAGCCGCCACCATGGAGAAAGGCTTCCACCTCAACTGACTTCTGACCTCCAACCACACTGAGCATGCTCCTCAAGTCACCGCCGCCGCCCTGCCCGCCCGCCGCCACCACCGCCGCGTGATCGACGGATCAGCCGGCCAATTGGAACCAGCTGACTGACTGACTGCTGGAGGACGACGAGGAGGACTCATGTCGCAGAATAAAAATGAAAGCTCACATCCTTAACCCCTCGCCTCCTTCCCTTGTCTCCTTCATCCTCTTTCTCACTCACCTGAGCTGCTGCAGGCTGCTGTGTTTGTGTGTGTGTGTGTGTGTGTGTGTGCGTGCGTGCGTGCGTGCGTGTTGACCTTCCTCCTCCTCCTCCTCCTGTCTCCTCAGTTTAGTGCCTGGTTTGACTCGTAGCTTCTGTTTTCAGTTCCTCCTCCTTCAAACAATCACGCTTCTTCTTCGTTTTTATTTTATTGCTTTTTGTTTCCGTGTGTGTGCGAATTTTTTTTTTTTTTTTTTTTTTGGGTTGTTTCTGACCGGCTGTAGAAGTCAAAGGTCAGAGTGCATTTGGTGTTCTTCTTTGACTTGATGAAGCTAGAGACAAAAACACTGGTTGTGTGCGAGGCACATGGTAAGAGAAAAGGCTCTGCTCTCCCTCTTGTATTTTCTTTGTATATTATTATAAACATTTATTTAACTCAAGTTGCAGTTTGAGGTAAACAGATATTTTCAAATGTGTATGCTCCAAAAAAAATAATCATTAAAATGTTTGCAAAGTATGAATTAAAGATGGAGTCCTGTGGTCTGTGAGCATGTGGCCAAAAGTATGTGGACAGCTGGTCATTGTGGCCAGTGAGGACACGTCCAGGGTGTCTGGGTTTATATTTACCCACAAATTAGACTTTTTTTTCTTTTTTAAATTTAGGTCTAATTTTATTTTGTACTTGTGTCTTTTACATCAAAGTAAGATCTTGCTTTCAGACCCCTTTTCCACCAATGAGGTTTTGATCAGAACCACCATAATCAAGGATGTTTCTTAGCGGAGGGCAATACAAATCCAACACACTGGATCTTTAAAATATGATAACGTTCATCGGATAAAATATCTTTACACCTGCAGGTACCAGGAATAATAAATGTGGAGATCAGTGGAAGTAAATGACAAAATGTTTTATGTAATTTGGGTGAAGTGAGCCTTTAAATCAGACTTCATGTTAATGATTAATCAGCATCAGAACATTGGCACCTTTAATAGTCACAAAGCTGCAGGTTTGATTCAGTTTACAGTCGACTGCTGATGACGTCAGTCTGAACCAATAAATAAAACCTTACACAAATGCTTAAACAAATTCAACCAATGGAGTGGACCCAAAGTTCTGTCAGGCCGAGCGCACACAAAGAGCACCTCAGCGGATGTCGTCCCTTTATTTCTAGCTCCGTCTGCTGTAACCCTCCCACATCACAGCTCCAGTTACATCACGTGTCATACTCCAAAGCTCCCCTGGGGTCAAAGAGCGCATCCCAGCCTCTTTTGAATAGCCTCGGTGGAGCCTCAGCCGTCAGCCATCTTGTCGAGGGCGTTTAGCGGCGCGAGGATGCGGCTCTTGTTTGTCTCCACGATGTGTCCGTTCTGGATCATCTCGTCCAGGATGATGTGGACTCGGTCCAGGTTAAACATGATCTGAAGACGACGCTGAGTCAAAGAAACAAACCAACATGTATGTGTCAGACAGGAAGTGGTGCTCGCAGAGAGCAGCTGTGATTGGTCAGATTAAAGGATACGTCCAGTTCACTCTGTCAGGGGAGACAAACAAACAGAGTTATCAGGCTGCATCACAGTCAGGTTTATCACTGAGCAGGTTTGCAGCTCCTGTCGTGAAGCAGTGAAAGGTCAAAGTGTGAACTCACCACGCGGCTGAAGTATTTATCCAAAACCTCCACAAAGTTATGAACCAGCTCGTAGACAGACAGCTCATTCTGTGGAGACACATCACACACACACACACACACACACACACACACATATTCAGGTGTTTCAACAGCTCAGAGCAAAGAAGACGAGAAGCCTTCAAAGGCTGCAGCCCCTGAATTGAGACACGGCTACTGACTGTAGAGAGGGACATTCACGTTTTCGCATCAGTCACCACCTGTAGGCCCCTCCACGGATTTTTTTTAACCTGAAAGTGCCTAATTTGGTTTTGTTTTTACTGGTTTAAATCACTGGCTGGATTTGTTTTGGCGAGGAGAGGACCTCTGAGGACAATTTGGTTTATGGTAAAAACCTCGATCAGAAGTAAAGTGAGCAACATTGCCATTGGAGTTGGCAGCAACAAGCAGCAACTTTTTTAACGTGAAGCTGCTTTATTCAGTGTTTTGACCAGTTTCAATCACCTGGTCCGTTTGTTTTGTAGAGGAGACGACCTCTGTGGACAATTCGGCTTCACCAAAATCAAATCAGTTCATCCTTGAGTTCGAGTGGATGTTTGCGCCAAATGAGAAAACATTCCCTCAAGGCATTCTTGAGATATCACGTTAACAAGAATGAGACACACTAGGTCACAATGACCTTGACCTTTGACCACCAAAGTCTGATCGTTTCATGGCTGAGTCCAAGCGGACGTTTGTGCCAAATCTGAAGAAATTCCCTCACGGTGCTCTTGAGATACTGCTATCACAAGAATGCGATGAACCTGAAAACACAATGCCTATCGTCGCCACAGAGACCTGACAAACAGGAGGAAGCAGTGCATTTGTTGGGGACTACTTTCAGCAGCGGATTCATTTCTCAGAATCATGTAGTGGTGCTGATGTGAGCAGTGTTTCTCACCTCGTTGTCTGTGACTCCGACCACGATGTACAGCGCAGCGTACTGGCGGTAGACCAGTTTAAAGTCTTTGTACTCCACAAAGGAACACTGGGAACAAGCAGAGGGGAGAACAGTTAAAGGAGCATACCACCGCTTTTATGATCCATCACTAAACACCATGTATACTTCAGAGACAAACAGGTACCTGGTCCTTCTTGCGGCTCAGGCAGCAGCGGACCACGTCAGCCTCCAGCACTGATCTCTTGCTAAGCTCCACAGGTTGGTAATACCTGGACAGTCTGGTCTGACCCTGCCGGTTCACCATCAGCATGAACTTGATCATCCTGAGATCAGACACCTGAATGACACACAGCAGACAGAGGATGATACTGTCAGATAAATAATCTGTCCCTCCTCCAACATCTAGAGATAAGAGAGTACCTCTCCTTATGCAGTATAATCTACATTTCATGATCACCCTCTAATAATACACAACATTAAGTAATAATAGTAATCCCAACGGAGAAAGACCTTTTTGTTAGAGAGTAAGATCCTTTTTGTTTAACTAAAAACAGCCCAGAAATCACTATCACCAGCCCTACCAGACTCCATTGAAATAAACAGTAATTGTATCTTTGTAAAATATGCTTCACTGTAAGTTGACTGAAACAAAATAAAACTCACAAAAACCTTCTACGTTCACCTTTCCACCAACCACCAACTCTGGTTTGATTGAATTAAACACTGAATTCACCCAATTAAATGTGAATATATGCTGCCTCTGTACACGCTAAAATGGTGACGGTGATTTCAGGGCTGTTTGTGGTTAAACAAAAAGGATCTTACTCTTTTACACAAAGCTCTATCTCTGTAGGGATCCTTTCATAACTGTCAGACACTTAGAATAACAATCTGAGCCTGTCAGTGGCAAAAACAAACACTTTTAGAGGACGAGCATTGATGGTGTTTCAGGCTTCACGGCTTCCGTAGGTGGGGCTGCAGAGTTTACGAGCAGCACTTGAAGGCAGCACATAGTAGAATTTTACATGACCTGTTTATAACCGTTAATAAAACCGTTTTTTAAACAGTGTAACTGTTTTATATGGCCGTTAACCGGCGTCAAGTATTGGTCAACATCAAAAATGCTTCGTTAACTTACCGGCAGCTGTTAGCTTGTAGCTAAACTGTGACTAAATAAGCCCCATCATCACACAAGCTAACAACAACAACCCGCTAACTGCTGGTAAATCTAATAATGCTATTAAATAGTGAGGCATAACAGCCGAGAAGACACTCTGAACATAAATCAAAGTTATAATAGAGTTAAATTAAACTTATATTAAATTAAAATGCCAGTAAAACATACGAGGATTCAGATACCAGCGCTATGAAGCTAACTAGAGCTGTTAGCATCTGTGACGCATGCTCAGTACAGTCTTCATCTGGTGCGTTCAGGAAACAAATGGTAAATAAGGATTTTAAGACTCAGCCCACATTTCAGACTGTACTTGACTGTATTTCGAGTTTCAAGTTATTTATTGTCATGGGAACAACACTTTTAGAAAAGCATTCGTTGGCAATACAAAGTTTAGATGCTCATTACACATGTTTAAAAAACACGCAAGTAAAAATGAGAATTTAAGACAACACAGTAAAAGTAGATAAACAAAACAAATTCAGCAAAGGTCTGATTGCATTCAAGATGTTTTTGAAAAATACAATTATAACATTGAATTGTGTTTATTTTAGTGTATGTATTTAGCATTGAATGTAAGTGATGATCAAATATGTAAATATGTTTGAGTAAACATTTTGAAAAACCTTTAAAATTTATATTATTTATAATATTTATGCAATATTTTCTTTACATCTTTCCATTTAAACAAATATGGATGGACAAGAGAAAAATCAATCTTATAAATGGAAATATTATAAAGTAAAAAGAAAAATACAGTTGGATTACATACAAGATGTTTAAAAAATGCAATCATAACATTTAATTGGATTTTATTTAGTGTAAGTATAAAGTGTTGAAGTGTCACATATATGTAAACATGTATCAAAATCTTCTGAATTAATATCACTTAAACAATTATTTATTTATTTGTCTTTCCATTTAAAATATATAGTGATATCTTATATGAATGGTCTTACCATTGTGTTTATAATGTTTAAAATTAAACTTGAGTGTCCAAAAATAATGTTAAAGAGAGTGTGTGAATTATAATCTGTGTTTTATCATACCGCCACTGGGTGGCCTCAAAGTTGTACATTTCCAGATATGCCACATAGTGTCTTTATATGAAAAATTAAATAGATAGTGGCTTTAACTTGTGTTGGGTCATATGATACATATGATTAACAAACAGATTAAATCTCATAAATTATAATGAGAGGCACATCATGTTTGAACCAGGGTCGCAACAGTCTGAGATTTTCATGGTACAGTAACAGTCTCAGAAAATATGGCAGTTTCATGTATCACATTATTACAGGAATGGCATTATTATTATTATTATTATTATTATTATTATTATTATTATTATTATTATAAAGGAAATGAAAATGGATTATTTTTGGTTGAACAAATGTTTTTATTACTGCAAAACTTGAAACCATGAAATAGTTGTGAGACGAAATAAAATACTTTCCAATGCGTGCAATATTAGACAAAAATAAATAAGAAAAATCATGTTGGCCGATTCTGATAATTAATTTAAAGCCGATATCGGCCGATACCGATGACGTACTGATATTATCGTGCATCCGTAGTTGATACCATTCAAAATCAATGCAAATGGATCCTCTGGGATGCTTCCTTCACCAAAACACAAGTGACTTCCAATAAAATGGATTAAACCAGGGAGAATGGGTTGGGTTACAGGATTGTATTCTTGAAAAGGAACTGAAAAGTTGTGTCTAGTTATAAAAAGCTTATGTAATAATAATAATAAGCCATGTTCGTCAAAAATTGACAAAATTGTAATAATATTTCTTTGGTTGGTTCATATAATTCCTGCATTCTGTCTGTGTCGTGAACGTCACATATTGGATGACAGGAGGATGGCTCTTTCCCGTCATGCACCGCGCCTGGGTTCTCCCTCCGTCATCGGATCCAGGGAGAGAGAGAGGGAGCAGTAATGGCGGCCGGTTAGAGCCACACACAAACACCGCGTCCCGCAATCAGCCGCACTCACCGCAGCCCTCCGGGGGGCAGCCAGCCTCACACACCGCGGCGGAGCCAGCGCGACAGACACGGAGCGGAGACACGGGCTTTAGGGGGGGGACGGGAATCCTCATAGCGGACCGTTGCTGCCTGGGACTTTCCTTCTACTTTTCTAAAAAAAAAAAGAAAAAAAAAAGAAAAAAAAAAAAACATGGATGAGCACCCCGGCGGAGGAGGGGTCGGAGCGGCCGCCCCGAGACAGCCTCCACCGCCGCAGCAGCAGCAAGGGAGCAACAGCAGCGCTAATCCGCCGATCGGAGGTGTAGGAGGCGGTGGAGCCGGAGGAGTCATGGTGCCGCACCAGCCGGACGAGCTGCCCCGGCCGCAGCAGCAGTACACTATCCCCGGCATCCTGCACTACATCCAGCACGAGTGGGCCCGGTTCGAGATGGAGAGGGCGCACTGGGAAGTGGAGAGGGCCGAGCTCCAGGTTAGCACACTTATCCTACCACTGAATGCCGATTGAGGCTAACCCAAGTTTACAACAGCAACCGGGGCCGCTGACCGGTTTTCCGTCACTGCTCAAAAGAAAGATGTTGATCTTTACCGATAATTAGCCACATTAGCTAATCATCCTATCACTTCAGTTATTATTACCATTCGACTAACGTGTTTGTAGCTGGCGAGGTTGCTAAGCTAACGGGTCAGAGCACGGATAGCGGAACGGTGTTACCGTTAGCGCAGCTGGAGCTAGTTAGCAGTTAGCTTAGCCGTTAGCTTCACAGCGCTGCCAGAATGAGTGCCGATTTAGGCTAACCCAAGCTAAGAACAACAACAACCGGGGAAGCTGCCCGTTAAACCGTCACTGATCTAAATAGAATCAACTAAACGATCCCATTTAGCTGTTATTGACATTTATATTTACTGCACGTCAAATTGTCGTTAACGTTCACGGTCAACTCAGTCTTCGTACCCTAGTTGGCGAAGTGGTTACGCTAACGGTCAGAGCACGGATAGCGGAATGCGCTGGGGTTACCGTTAGCTTCGCTGGAGCTAGTTAGCAGTTAGCTTAGCCGTTAGCTTGACAGCGCTGTCAGAAGGGTAACTTTTCTCTTGGATGTGATTTGATAAAACAAAAGAACATATTACAAATTAAGTATACAGAGGATAATAAGCAGAAAGAGCAATAACTATAGAGTCAGGGGTATATCACAGTGACAAAATCTTATAAAACATACAGACAATAAGTGTGTTGATAGCCTTTTAGTTGGTTGAATGAGACAGTAGTTTCATATACTCCACATCCCTCAGGAAAAAAACAAAACAAAAAAATGTTAATGGTAAAATTACATTTGGTAGTATGCCAGTATCATTATCAAATTTATCATAATTTTTTTCTTGTAGTTTTGAAGAAACAAGTGTTTTTAAACATGTGATAAGTGTCAAATGTAGAGAGGTCTTGCTACTGTCAGAAGGGTAAGGTAGCCCCTTTTTTCATTATATTTTTTTATTCTCTTTATTGAACCACTAATTGGTAAACGTGAGCACTATTAAAGGGATATTGTGATTTTTTTTTTTTGATGTGGGGTTATATGAGGTACTTATCCATATACAGTGTATAACCCACAGTAGATGTCAGTCGACTCACCCCTGGTTAAGAGAAGCAGACAGGAGTCTGACAGGGGAGCTTGGCAATGAACTGCTGTGGAGGGGTCGGGAACAAAACATATTTTAATACCCAGAAAAATCAATCCGTTTAAGTATATGCTATATTGAGAGTATTTTCACTGCTTTACCTTTGTGTCAGACAGTGCGTTTCAATGGGAACGCTGTGAACGGCTTCAGTTCCCTATCGATGCTCTTGTCAAAGCCACCAGACTCCATTGACAAAAACAGTAATTTAGCACACTGAACACAGGAGCTGCTGGTCTACTCCTGCCTCAATCAGTTAGTTAGTTAGTGTTATTGTGGGACTTAAGTGAATCTGAAGTAAACCTCTTTAATGCCCGAGTAACACAATAAGACATTCAAAAAAACTGATTGAAGCAGCAGTAGACCAGCAGCTCCTGTGTTGAGCAAAGTAAAATCACGGTTTTTCTTAATGGAGTTTGGCTTTGAAGAGAGTGATTTAACAGCTTTGTTTTCCCATTAGAAATCGCTGTCTGACATTCGGGTAAAGCGGTAATATTTCTCTTAATATACCATACACTTAAACTGATATTATTTTTATAAGTGAGATTTATTTTAGGTGGCTAAAATACGTCTTGTTGCTGACCCATCCATAGCAGCACATTGCTTAGCTTCTATGTCAGACTCCGGCCTGCTTCTCCAAACTGGGGGCGTGCAGACTGACACCTGCTATATATAATATACTATCTATGGACCTCATACAACTCCACATCAGAAAAAATGGAACTATCCCTTTTAACAGAAGATCAGAGCAGATTAGATCAGTTGGTGTTTTTCCACCCCCGGTTCCATCGTCTTGAAGTCCAAAAGGTTTTGGTTTAGACGCCTGACATAAGGTCTGTGGTTCACACAAGATTAAGAGACTCTCACGTTTTGTTCTGTCATAAAATCCATCGTTCATACCCCACTTGCACATTTTGAAGCTTTTCTGTCTCTTTAAAAAAGGGTGGTTGCTAAAAAGTGGCTAAGTAAGACTCAAGAACATCATCATGCCGAGCTAGGCCTTACAGCCTTGTAGTGTAGTTTGTCCACAGCCTAATAATGTTAGCTCTTTACTTCCGGTGCTTATATTTAGGCTTTAAAAAATCACGGAAGCAGTGTTCATTAGTGAAGATTATTTTTCTGAACAAAATGTTTAAGTATCATCAACGTTTGTTTGCCACAGAGCTTATTTTCTGCAACAATTCAAAATTCAATGGAATAATCCCATTAGCTTTTTGACAAGGGAACCAGGGCAACGCTAACTTCCGCATTGGCCTACAGAAAAACATCATCTCTGCAGCACTCTATACTGTGTGAACGCGGATGTTGAATTTTTTTTCAGTGACCCTCGATCCTTATTGAACCCCAGTGGTGCAACTGGGCTCTGAATATTGAGTCAGTCCTCTGCAGTCGACTCAGTGTTTCATTTGAAGAGGTTTAAACTGTGATTTGTCAGTCCATAGTATGTTCAGCTGATATTCCAACAGTGACTAACCTTCTGTTTCTATCGTGAAGTTTGAAGAATAGCTTTGCTAGAGTTAATTCCAGCTTATTAGAGGCATTATTTTACACTTGACAGTGGACATCTGCACACATTTTGATGCTTTCAGTTTCTGTTCACCAGTGACTGTTGATTTCTTCTATTCTTATTGCTCAGAAGTATCTTTGTCTCTTTCAGTTGTCAGTGAGGTTGAACCACTGTACAGCATTTTGTTCCCCATGTACAAAACAAATCCTTCATACTAAATAACATTTATTTGTTAAGAGGACTTTCTCCAACCAGAAAGCAACAAAGACTGTTTAGACACACAGGAGGCACAAGCACATCTCAAGTCTTAACCTTCAAGTCTCGTGCAAGTCTACAGTTACTGTGGTGAGAATCAAGCAAGTCAAGTCATATGAAACTCTGATGATCTGGTCAAACTCACAAATTAGCTGAAAGACCTATTCAAGTACTTTTATTTGTGGGGTCTGTAGTGATGGATGAAGTCGTGTGTTGTGGTGGTCGTGTTACTGATTTTTAACCAGCAGGCCTTTCATACCACAGTTCTTACCAGAGGTGGCACCAAGTCATTGTTTTGCGAATCACAAGTAAGTCTCAAGTCAACACTGACAAGCCCTGAGTCCTGAACCTTGAGTTTCGAGTCCTACACAAGTTGCACTCTTCGATAAAATGTAATGCCAACAGAGTAATAGCATATTACATTTACAAAACCATCAATGCTTTTTAAAATGTCTATTTGTTTAAAAAAGTTTGTTAGAAGTTGTTGCGTCTCTATCCAGTTTGTATCTTTTTGTTGACCACCACATAGCCTATTTTTGGTACACTGATGGAATTATCTTTGGTAGTATTTTTTCCAACTGTTCTGTAATGTAATGTTAGTTCTTCATGGTTCTCTTCTGCAGCTTGATTGGATGTTGTCTCATTGGTTCAGACAAAATGGATCTGGGGAATTATTGTCGACTTGCTGGGAATGAATAGCATTAATGTTGGTTGACTTTAGAAATACATTGATTTGTGACATGCTTGGGAAAAGGTACCAAGTATTTTCAAGGCGAAAGACACGATTCATTGGTGTTGAAGTCCAAGTCGAGTTGCAGGTCTTCTTTGATTAAGTTATCAAATTTGTGACTCGAGTCCACACCTCTGCTTCTCACTGCCGTCATTGACCACATAATCCTTGAATCCGGTTTTTAGTACTTTTTGAACCAGCCCCCTCCATGATAGCTGCCTCTTGGTTGGTCCCTGCTCTTCTGCCACGTCCTAGTAGGTTGCCAGGTTTGTGCAAATTGCACTAGAGATCACTAAATCAGGTTTTAAAGACAATATGTGACTTTTAAATGTAGAGATAAATGCAGATATTTAATAAAACAAAGTCAAGTTCTTTTGAGTCATCCGCCTCAAGTCTGAGAGATCATTTATACTCCCTTTATGTGCAAAAATAGATGTGTGAGTTTCAAATGTAAATGTCACCGCCCTCATACTTTAATGTGTCCTTTATGATGGCATAGAGTCAAAAGTTTCGCACAACAAACGAGGTGATGGTGGAGGAGGTAGTAATATTGTACCTCTTAACTGATGCAGTTTTGAGGACGGTGGTCTGTGAGGCCGTTAAATGCAACGCAACATGTGGACGGAGAATTCTTTACACTATATTATAGATTTGTTTAGTTTCACCAGTATTTAAATTTCTTCATTGTCCCCCTGATCTCCAGTGGTACTGCTCTGTTTCAGCCCTGTCCTCAAGTTTTCAGAGAATGAACACAAATCTGAACAAAATGAACGCAGAGTACAGACAAAAGGCTCTGTTTGTCTCTGTATACATGTCTAATGTTTAGCAAAAATGATCCCTAAGCTAAGTCTTGAGTCATGAATACCAAGTCAAAGTCAAGTCGAGTCTTTTATCAGTGTTAGTCAAGTCATTTGACCCAAGTCCCCCACCTCTGATGAATACCACATAACATCACAGTGATGCCATAACTGTGTATACAGTCATAACAGTTATTGTCGTTACCAATATACCTGTTGCTTTCTCGATTACTTTCACACAAAAAAAAAGAAGACATGACACATTTACATGATGCTCAGATAAATTCAGTGATTTAAAAAATGAAGGTGTAATGAAGTTGATGCTGGATTTGAGCTCACAGATCCAGGCATTTAACAGATAAATAATAAGATGACATTGATTCACACATTTGGTATGTCATCACGCTCTTCATCAGACTTTTCTTTGGGTGTATTTCAGAATGTAGATCTGTTCATTCAGGCTTGTGTGTGTGTGTGTGTGTGTGTGTGTGTGTGTGTGTGTGTGTTGG